GATATAGAACGCGTAGTAATATACATTTTGGCGATATAGGAAACGTGATATGGAACATGCGGCAATATAGAACGTATGACAATATTACTTTGCAGTATAAATTGTAACAACGTAAATCATATGTATAGCGATACAAATTATGTTATAACGCATGATGCATGGCGATATACATAGAATGTAGGGAAATATAAGTTGTGGCGATATAGAACATATGAAAATAATGATACGTAGCAATAACAAAATAATGATATGTAGCGATATAAGACAAATAACCAATATGAGTTGTGAAACGATATAAGACTCATGGTGATATAAAAAACACGGTGATATATAAAAAAAAAACTTGCTAAATCGGCAATATAACAAAATTTCACTATAATAATTCATGCATACATTTTATATGCATACAAAGCAATGTTTACATTTTTATAGTAATGCAGTTTAATCTCCATATAGAACTCATTCAACAAAAATTGCAATATAACAAGAGTCTACTAAACAATCGTCAATCTTAAAAATTGCAACTGAAAACGCATAATACATTAACTATATGAAATTATGATACAGATTAAGACATTCAACACTTTTAATAAATGTACAGAACTTTAAATCACCCCGAACAAGTTTAGTTACAACTAGCAATTACATTGCCACGTTCATTATCACGGTCCTATTCAGTCTTCCCTAGGGTCACATAACAGTTAATGAATTAAAATAATTATAAAACAATACCGAACAATTACGACGCGGCGTTGAAAAACGAAAAAATGTTGTAAGATAATAGATTGTTGCAGAGATACCGTAGTTCACAATGGACACGTTATCGGATATTGCATGCATATAGGGTGCAGGCAAGCATCCCATGGGAAATACAAACAGATAGTAGCGACGTATACAACATATTAAACCGTGCCGTGTACGGAACTGATTATCAACGCAGTATCATACATTAAGTTTCTCCGCAATGAAATTATACCCGTCTGTTGATTCATCAAGTGATTGTTGCTTTGTTTGTTGCGATTATGCAACTGCTCCTGTTTGCTCCGCTCGGAAACTCTAATGAGACCTAATTACGTTACCGGCTCTTATTTCGGCGGAAAAAAAATGTTAACGAGTCAACCGTTTCTTTTTATCGCTATATTGGAAAGGGATTATTTAATTAACGCAACCTATGCATATTCTCAAATTACGCTGACGCAAACCAATTACGTTATTTAAATAAAGAAAATATTCTTGAAAGATAAGGATATTGATCAAAGGATAAATATCCTTCTCCCTGTCACATTAAATCAGAAATATTTCCAATTTATTGATTTTCCAATTTAAGATTTTTCACGGTTACCTCACATAAATTAACAGAGAATTATTACTACAACAGACTCTTCTTATATTGCCATCGATGGAAATATAATAGCATGAAACTCTGTAATCAGTAATGAAGGAAATGTTCTATTAATTTAATAACTAGCTAGGTCATTACGTTTTGAGAAATTATCGTTAAGTAATAAAGCTGTAGATGATTAAAAATTATCAGTTGTGAGGCCAATAACATGATGGGCATATGTGACATTCGTAATGCCATTAAATAGTGGTGAAAAAAGAACTCTGAGGCCATTAAACCATGGCGAACAATAGCTTATGAGGTCATTAAATAGGGATCAATATGCACTTGTGAGGCCACTAGATAGGAAAGTTCCGCTAGTAAGGCCAATAAATAGGGCAGAAAGTCACTTTTAGGGCCATTGAATATGAGAAAGTCTTTTTTTGAGGCCATTAAATTGAGAAGAAAGGTACCTTATGAGAACCATTAAATAGGAAACTTCAGCTCGTGAGGTCATTAAATAAGAGAGAAAGACCGTTGTGAGGTCATAAATTATGGGGAAATCAACTTGTGAGGCCATAAGATAGGGTGGTGGTTAAATTGTAAGGCCATCAAATAGGGCGGTGGTCAAAATGTGAGGTCACCAAATAGGGGGATGGGAATCTATTTGTGAGGTCGTTAGAAACGGGCTAAAGTCCGCTTGTAAAATAAGGTAAAATATTCAATTGTGAGGTAGTTATATAAGATAGAAAGTCTAATTGTGAGGCCAATGAATAGTGAGTGCGGCGTCTGTGATGCCATTACATAAAAAGCCGTATATGCGTGGATGTAAGTTCTTGTACAGTAATAACATAATAAAAATATCTCTAAATGTCAAAAGTACCCAAAATTTCCAGAATGTCTAAATATCGAAAATCGATTGAAGCAAACATACAAATTGTACAAATACATTTGAATAATCATAGCCACAAAACGGGAAGTAAAAATAAAATGGATGGAAACAAAAACCACTATATTCGGATTCTTTTTTATTAAAATTTTTATTTCCTGTGTTTCGTAGCGCTCTTCTAAATAATAATTAAACGTAACTTAATTCAAAGGTCGCGACGTGAGACTGCGCGATAGTCAAAGAGAAACGGAGAAAGTTATAATTGAAAGTTGTTAATGCTAAACTCGTTCATTCAGGTGGGCAGAAATGGTACGACATATAATGCATATGGGGTTGATGGGTCAGATTCTTTTTCTTGTTCAAGACACGTAGAATCACCTTAAGATTATAGATTGACGACGACGACGACAACGGGACAAAGCGACCCAGCCCATCAATTTGATTGGCTGTTATTTTTTTTGATTAATTAATTGGATAGATACATAGGCAAGATACACAAATACATTTGGAGAAAGTAGACAGCTAGACTCGTTTGTTTTTTTCGTTTTCACTTTTAGTTAACACTGGAATAACCACGTCACCATAATTTTTAAACAAATTTATAGCGTTATTTTTTTTAAATTATATTCTTATTCTACAAAACATAATTTTCTTTTAACAAGATATAACATTTAACGATGTAAATAATTTTATTTTGACAGCGTGAGATACTGAAAATATTTAATTCGAGAAGTATTTTTGTTAAATAATTATAATTATTTCATTTTTATTTAAACTTTGAATTCAAAATTATTCTTTCTGTTTTCAATTGACTAAGAATAAATTTAAGATATAAATCAATATCGCTGTAATTGTTGCGTATCAAATGACCAATTTTGAAGTACGAATTCATTACATAAGAATATCACAAAGTAACACTTGCAATATATCAAATTAAAGCTTAAGGTATGAACAAATTTGTTATATAAATCATTTATTAATAAAATTAACATAACATGATTAGCTACCGGCCTCAAAGCAAGGTATCTCTCGCTATAAAACTTTAAATGAACCCAATTAAACTTCTAATAAAATTTAATAACATGATGTCACAAAATAGCACTTCTGATACACCAAATTAAAGGTTAAGGTTTCAAGAAAATGGCGGTATAAACACTTTGTCAATATTCTCAATACAAAATGGCTGATCCTATATTGGAAGGATAATAACCTTAGTGCCTAGATGTGAATGGATTCAACGAACAATTAATCATTTTGTATTAAGTGTATCGATAATCTATTTATATACAAATTTTCCTTAAACTTCTAGCTTCAATTTGATGTACTCTAAACGTCATTTGGCCATACTTTTCTTTCATGAAATTACCTTAAACTTCATATGTTCCAAAGTGCCATATTAGTAATAATTGTCAGTCAGCCATTTTATATTTAGAACATCGATAAACTATTAACATAGAAATTTTCACTAAACTTTGATCTTTAATTTGACATACTTTTGCACCATTTTTATGTCATAAATTCGATACGCACGGTAATAAGAACAGTAACCAGAAATTTAAGGTCCAAATGGCGGATGTGATTGGTTGTTCCAATGTCAAACAGGAACGCCAGTGACATTTGACACGACAGAGTGTATAAAAAAGATAGCTTTAATGCGATACAGGCCGATTTTTTGTTTCTGCGGTATATCGTATATATACGAGAAAAATCTTGACGTGGAAGAGGGAATGCAACAGTTCCGGCTTTAATCAGTCTTCGAATCGAAAGTCCACTGTAAAAAGTTGAAAGTTCATTAAGCATATCGCACAAGTATAAATCTACGCTCGTTTAAAGAGAAACCGGCGAGAGAAACCATTTCCAAAATCGAATCAGCAAACATCTGAACCTTCTTCTTCATTTCAGTACACTCTTTTTTTTTAATAATACATATAATCACAACCAAAATCAAAATTCCATTTATCGATGCAAGAGTGAGGAGAATTTTTCACTTCGTTTAAAAGTAGACAGGACATCTTTATTTCTCATTCGCAGTTTACATCGTTCTTGGTCAATCTTTAACATTTTTCCAACCATGCAGAAAACGGAAAATAAGCAATCGGTTGTTTCAGACTCAACAGAACTGTTTAACACGTTGACTGCCGTGAAGACAAATGACTGTTAGCAAATAGGTGAATTGGCTAGATTTGAAATTTGAAAGCTTTTGTGTGGAATAATTTATATTTTGACACTTTGAGCTTCTTTGATGTAATAGACTCTTGTTATATTGATATGGACAGGGCTGTAAGACAATTTAAGCCACCACTTATTATTATAATAGACTTCTGTTATATTGCCATGATTACAGAAACAGAATTCCGAGATCTCAAGATTCAGCAAACTCAAAAATCTCAAAGTTCTAAGAATTTAGAGGTCCAAAAGCTTCAAAGTCTCAAGGACCCAGAATCGCAAAAGTTTCAAAGCTTCAAGCACCCAGAATCCCAAAAGCTTCAAAATCCTAAAGTTGTTATGGTTAGATTTTCATTCTCAAGGTTCTGAAATCCCAGAAGATTCTAAAGATCCCAAAGACCCAAAGTTTTTATGTTTCAAGATCCAAAAATCTCAAATTTCAAAATTTCTTTAAATTGAATTTGAGTTACATCCAAATCCTCATAATTCGACCGCCAGTGTCTTCGGCTATCTCCGTGAATCTTTGTGCATTCCAATGGTGGAAGAGGTAGGAGGGCATCACCAGAGGGCGTGTAAATTCGCATGATGGGAAACTCCCTTACCGACAATATAACGAGAATCTACTGTAATTTGAAAACTTGTAATTTCGTGACGTACATTACTGAAACATCCGTACATAAATGTTCGATACAAAAATAAATACATTGCATTAAAAAATTAAATTGTCAAAGTGTGAATATGGCTTCCTAACATCCAATTTCACAGTGGCAGTTAACGCATTTAACTTTCTCCAATATTAAATAAACAGATACAATTTCCATCACGAAAATTCCCGTTACTTTTGCATCTACCAAAGACCATCATTTATTTCACAGCTGAGAAAAAAATTTCTGCGTGGATTCATCGATCGGTTAGTTACATTGATGTACTTTCTCGAACGTCAAATGGATAAAAACGAGACGAAAACAAAGAGAACAGAAAAGACGCAAGTAAATTCGTATCGTTCAAAACGGTGGTACTACTAACGATATTTGTAGCAAAAATATACAGGCCACGTGGCTGCTTACAATATTACGCTTCGCAAAATTCTTCAATGAAATAGAGAAACTTAACAAGACACGAGAAATGAAAGGTATCTTCGTTTTTTTTTTTTGTTCTTTTTCGTGATTTTTTTTCTTCTCTTTTGACAAAGAACATAACGGTTAACGACGTCAAACAACCAGTACTCAATGTCAGTCAGGCGTTGGAGGCTGTACAAATCACTGATGCCCACTGACAATGAGCTCATTGATTGTACACACCTTGTTCACTTAAAAATCTAGAGTTTTAATTACGATACTGCTCGCACGAATTTCTCGAAGAAAGAAACCTGGTGACCCATGCTAACCCGCTCGATCGATCCAATTTCGTTATGTTTACGAGTACATCGTACATACACGTGTTATCGTCAAAATAACATATGTATCTCATCTTCATCTTCGTACTTGTCGTTGTTTTTGCACGTTCATATCTCCTGTACAATTGCACGCGTCGATAAGTCAATAGTATGTTTTTTTCTTCGGATAAGGGTGCCGTGATCTAGCGAAAGTTTCGTTTTCGAACATGTTCGCATACGAAGATGAAATACAAGGAACGGAATATGTATATTTATATACACGAATCGGAGCTGGTGTATGTGTGTGTGTGTGGACGTGTGTGTGCGTGCATGATATGCACGTGTGTACAGTAGGGCGCAACGTAGGCTCCTCCTGAGGACATAAATGAGAGCCAAAGAAATCCTAGAGGATACAAAAATGAGCTGAGAGAGAACCTGATCTGGAACCCCCTGTCTTTCCACGCGATGGCAAATCAAGACTAGTGAGGAAATACTGCTTCCTCCATACTTCTCATGGTTAAAGAAGGTATAAGTGTCCCATCACTTGTCTTCAATCTTGGGAAAGTCCAGGGAGAGCCAGGGAGAGCCTGACCTGGAACCTCCTGTCTTCCCACATGAAAGAACATAGATAACCAAGGTTAATGATGGCGTACTTAATTCTATCTAAGAGAAACCTAAGCTGCACGCGGCTGTACATGTATGTGTATGTATCTCTGCATGTGAATGTATGTATGTACGAAACATGTCGCATTAGACGTTCTGGGAGTGGAATCAAGATCGTATTATCTCGAGTATACGAAATAGAAGTAGAAATTCGCTTGTTAAACGTATGCGCAATAAGTTGTTGATTTTTTTGGCCTTCATGCACGCTATCGCCTAGATAGATGAAACGAAAAGAAACAACGGAAGTCCACGATTGTACAGAATGGAAAACCGAGATACGTTCGTAAATGGTTGGCGAATAAAGACGCACGACAAGGTATAGTCTTCCTTAATTTGTCAAAATACATGTGCAATAATACGTACGTATGTAAGTTTTCGAAAACGCTTAATCGTCTCGCGATCCTAACGGTGCCTTTATTATGCGTCTTTTGTTCTTTGACTGGCCAGTGTAAAACGCTACTGTGGCAGAAACAAATTTTCGAAATTTCACGTTCGATTAGAAATTAATCAGAATGTCTTGAAAAGATTGTACCATCCAAAGACCAGTGATTTCGTCGCGGACGGTGTTCGTATCGTACAATATTTTTGCAACATCCTGTACAATATAGAGTAGAGTATCGCTAACAGTTCGCATGAAAGTACGCCCAAAATACAGACCTAATTTTCGAGTCAATCTCAAGTACATCAATCGCTTTGTAGACGATATAACGAAAATGTGGGTCGTATCAAACGAGTCACACAACCAAATCTAAATTTCAAAAGGAAACAAAGTAATAGTTTCCGAAAAAGAAAAGAAAATTTTAAGAACTCGCATACGAACGTGTGTATGTACATCTATACAACCCTTAACTATTTTATTCAATTACGTTAAGGAAATATATACTAACTAGTATTGCTATGCGATTTCTTTACTCGTAATTATGTCGAACAATTCAGAACCGTCTTTATGGAGGCCCCGAGCCAGAAGCAATTTTTGAAAAAACGAGGAAAGGGTTATAATTGAAAATTTCTATTTATTTAAATATTTAAATATAAATATACATTTTGTAAAATGTATTAAACTATGTGTAATATTTTTTTGTTCAAATGAAATGAAAACTTAACAAAAAATCACTACAATCTTTTTTCAAAATGCATTTATCTGTATTTTGTTTTGGATAAGTACCCGTTAATTTTCGAGAGATCAAGAGGCCCTGGACTCGTGTCTAAAGACGGCACTGGAAAAATTGAAATGTGAATTGCAAAAGTTGTTATTTAGAACACAATTGAAAGTAAATGCATATCGATTGAGTTTGCGAGATAAATCAGGCGTGACCAAGTGACTTCCCACTAATAACTACACGGTCCCCATTGTCTAATGATTTGTCTCTCCATCATTTGATCTGTAGCCCTAAAGTCAATTTACCATGACTCTAGTTATATTGCCACCATATATATTATCCGATAACCCCGTTTAAGAATTTGGAAATTTAGAAATTTGATAATTTTGAAATTTTGGGATCTAAAAATTGGAAAATCCTAAATATCCAAAGCCCGAGAGTCCAGCGTCTAGGTTGCAAAGTCTTAAAGATCCCAAAATTTCAAACTCCTATTAACTGCACTTCTGTATGTCTATATTTGAAGAATCACCAGTTGGTCATGCCGGAGTTAAGTGAATAATAATTACAACGCAAAGCAGTAAGAAATATGTACATTCGTTATTTTTAATAGCTAACACAGTATCGGTACTGTATCGCAGGGAAAAATTGAAAATAGAATGCTTACAATTAATACTATATCTTCTAAAGCCTCATCATACGCTACTGCAATATTAATTTCATTGAAAACTGTGTCTTACGTCAAGGTACTCGTCTGCAGGTAATGATTTAGTTGTGTGCTCGTTCACATGGTTCAATTATGCTCATTAATGAATAAATAGAAAAAAGAAAAGAAAAAGGAAAGGTAATAGCAAAGCTCGCATTACCCCCAGAAACATCGATTACTGCTTACTTCTTTTAACAAATGTATATACCCAAACAACTTACTTATGAATTGCACAATGAATGAAAGAATTAAAATATAAGATAAAATATGGAACGAATGAAAGCTCACAATGATAAAAAACATTTAGAAAAATTCTCAATATAACTATCTAAGTTGCTAACCGTCGTGTTCCCCCCTGTTTGATAGAACAGGAAGCACGGATTGCGCAAACGCATTTCACAGAATGTTCTACACTGTTTCGTACGTACGTACAACAAATGTGTACTCACGAGAAAAAAGAACTAAGTATTAATCGTTATTTGGAATAATTACGATTCTCAGTAATTCCGAACGTAAGAATCAATTCCAGATAAAAATGATTATACCTCACATTCACAAATGCGATTGGCGTTTCTAATCACTAATTACTAAAAATCTATGCATACAGAATCAAACACTTCACTGTTTGCGCGGCAGCCTTTCTCAGCCATCAAAGGAATTACGCGTTAGATTAAATTCAGTATCCTTAAGTTACCTAGTTAATGTTGTGTTTTGTGTATCAAATCATTATCGTAACAATTATTTGTTGGGCACACACCGAATTAAAGTCTCAGCTGTAAGCACGCCCCAAACTTTTGTTTCCCAGGGACTCGTGTTCATTAGCCATCCTCTTTTGGAGGGGTAAACCAACCTATAACAACATTTAAATACCTGTGTTGACGGTATACTGTATATGCCGAGTTCTATTGTATAGAAAACAGAGAAACATTAAACGCAGTAATCAAATTGCTCATTGACGATATACTAAATTTTACTGAGGAGAAGAAAGAGTAAAATATTAAATGCAACGGTGAGAGAATAAAATCACTTTCTTACCATTCTTTTCGTGTATTTGTACAAGAGACTTGAATGATTGTTGTGCACGTGCTAGACTGTATTGGCCTTGTCCACACACTTTGCTAGCACTACCCGGTCCTTGAAATTGTATGCGCGCTTTTCCCTTCACTAATGTTGCTGAAATCTGCATGATAACTGCTTCGACTGTGTAGGCTGAACTCCAACCTTGTTTTGTTAAGAGCTCCATACAAATAGCGCCTCCTATAAGGACATACCCGCCAGAGATCATGGGATGCACGACTCTAACAAATGGGGGTTCAAAAGGATACGTTTCCTGTAACACAAAACACGTTTCTACTTTATAAAATTGATCGATTAAACGGTCACGTGACGATATTTAAATTGTTATTATAATAAATACCAATACAGTAAATTAATCCTAGCATTAGTAAGAGCATATCATACTTCAGCATAGAATTTACAATATTAAAAAGATACAACTTAAAGCTAAAACATAATTAGAATCAATCTATTGAAATAAGTATTATACCTTAAACAGCATGTTAAGAAGAATACTGTCTTTTCCTTCCTTTTCCTTTAGAAGTATGAGATCGCTGTGCAAAGGTGAATCAGGATCAACACACATCAGCCTGACATTCCATTCATACAAACTGTCATTTACTAATTCTATGCTGTACATTCCTGTAACAAATTTATGTTAATATTTGAGTACACTACAAAACTTAATTATATCAATTTGAGAATGTGTTATTACCTTTTTTGAAACTGTCACTTCGATAAATGTCGCGCAATTCTTTCATGAGTCTGTCTGTGGCTTGCACGCTTCCACAGACAGATCCCTTTAAATAATCTTGTCTTTGATTTTGTCTCAACCTTTCTAATGTTGCAAGATGTTCCAATTCTATTTCTTCACCCTTCAAAATAAGATTAGTAAATACAGATAAGTATGGATATGATGTACATGTTGTTATTGTTCTTGTATTTACTAATATACCATATTTACCTTACTCTTGGCATTAACATCTCCTTCGTCCATATCTAAATGAAGGTCCTCCTCTGTATCACTTTCTTCGTCTTCATCAATATCTTCAGCATCTTCTGCTTCCATCCTTTGTGCAGCAGCTTCATTTGGTCCTCCTAAGCGTAACGGATCCAAAGCTGTCCTCAACCTTTCAACATCTGGAGGTTCTGGTAACGAGTGAAGTCTACATAATTCTTTTAAGAGAATCCCAACTTGATTAATGACATGGTTGTCTCTTCCTGTGGTAGTACTTAAAATTTGTACCGCATTCGTGACACTTGTCTCCTCTGATTCTGCGAACCATACTGGTGGTGTCGAAGGATAGGTTTCCTGTGACATTCAGTAAAGTTTATGCAATCATTATGCTGAACTTAATCATGATAATTACTTTCAATAATTTATTGTATTTTTAATTAATTTATCCATCTGGTACACAATTTATAATAGTAAATTATTACAATTAGGTTTATTAATCAAAAATTAATTCTTGAAGGCTATTATTAAAAACCGATTGATTTTACAATAATGTTATCACTAGTAATGCTCTGTACAGATATAAAAAGAATTAATGTTATCAGTAATAATATCAGTTGTTGTGTTTCTGTCATAATACTACAATAAAATTTCTTTGAAATAGAGTACTCCCATAATAGCCTTTAAAAATTAATAATAATGAACAGAATATTTGATAATAATTAGGTTGATAATGAATCATTATTATGAACTCATATAATATTTAAATGAGGGTTATTGGCAATTGTAGTTGATCCAGTGTCTGTGCCATGTCTCTATATATATACACATAATACAAATTATAAATTTATTTATTTATAGATTATACATGTATAAATTCAATATACAAACATAGATAACAAATGAAACAAAATAGAAAAATAGAAACAGTTGCAGAAACATAACATATAGAATTAAATATACATGCAATTACAAAGAATTTAAATTGAATACTGTATAAATAGTATGAACTGTTTACAGAAAGATTTATTGAAGCGATCAGTAAAACCACTAAAAAAATCAATTTTATTCATAAACGAATTGGATGATTTTAATATTCAATCAATCAGATTATACGACCTACATTTAGTTTTTACAATAACATAATGAAATGTGTATGATTTCTTTTAAAATTCCAAGTAGTTGCATTACAATGCAGAGACTAACAAGGATGTTCAATTTCTTAAGAAATTAAATTAACATTTCTGAATAATATTACATTTAAGAAATATTATGTGCATTGTCAATTATTAATGACTCATAAATTTCGACTAGAGTTCAACAAAGTAAACAGAAGAATGTGAACGCAATTTTTTTTTTTAAACGCACGTGATCACAATAGATTAATGAACTTCGATGTACGAATCCGATTCAGAGTAGTAGAAAATAAATAAACGTTTCTTTTCGATATTCGATAAAAAAACGAAGAAAATTTCGTAACGAAGCAAACGGTAATGGCAACGGTAACAGCAACGCAAATGGATATGTTCATTGTTATCTGGTTTATCTGCAAATATTATCTGGTGTACACGAAACTGGTGAACACATAGTTTCGCCGTAAACGAGAGCTTCTTTTTCTTCACGAGTACAAATAAGCAGAAGAGACACCGAGGGGCCTACCCTCTATTTGTGACATACATTGACCTCTACCGCACTATTAATTCGTCAGAAAATCTCCACGGAAACTGCCTCATGGAAGCGAGAAAGAATCGATCGTAACTACAACAAAATATACAAGAGCAACGAGAAAGTAATAATAGGGAAAAAACGTGGTACACGATACGGCGGTATTAGATGATCTCGGGCATGGCTCTTGTCAAAAGGCCCAAATAACAACACGAGTGTTATTGTTTCTTTGTCCGAACAGTCGTAGACAGCGATGAAAAGTTAACACGGTCCCGTGTAAACAGGAATGTTCGATAGTTGACAAATATCAAACTTACTCTGTCCGAAATTGTATCCATGCTTGTTACACTTACTGTAATATTGGCGTGTATTTCGTATTTCTTCCCATTTTTACCGACGAACCTGCAGCTGAGTTCGTCCACACTCGCAGACATTATCTGAAATCTCTCATGGCTCTTAGGGAAGACGGACTCAAGAGTTTTGATCTCCTGCTTAAGGGTGTTCAAACAAGCCATTTGGGGGAACGAACGAAAGTGCCGGACCCCAAATTTTCCGGAGATGCTTGTCCGAAAATTGTACAGCAACCCGAAAAGAAACACGACGTACCCGATGACTACCCGACAAAATGGCGACCGCGACTGACTGCTTCGGTCAGCCTCGTACAAATTCGTTTGCTCTCGTCACAGATGGCGCCATCAGGCTATTCAAATACCCGTGACGTCCTTCCGGTACAGCTGACAAGGGGAGCGTACGACGTCCCGGACGATGATTTGTTCTAAATTTTGTATAATTATAGGATATTGAACGGCAATATTTCTGCAAAATCGTAGCAATAGGGAAGAAATTCATATATTAACTTCTTTTTATTCAATGATTAAACGTCATTCTAAACGTTGCGAATCAATTTATTAATTCTTAAATTTTTTAAAATTTCAAATTTTCAAATTCCTAAATCTTTAAATCTTAGGATTGCTTAATTTTCAAGTTCGTAGATTTCCGAATTCCAAAACTTTTAATATAGTTTAATAGTGAATTTTTCAGTTTGCTAAAACGCGCGCTGCATTTTGCAGAATTATTACTTTTGGGCCTATTATAATTATACGGAGTTTAAACGCAAGTGTTTCGATGGTCATGCCCTTGGAGCGCAATTGAACATGTTACGGTATTTAAATGAAAATCTTTTTCTATCAAATTATTATTTTTAGCACTGATATTTAAATTTGTTTCAAGGTTTGATTATTAATGCGATCTATATTTCTGTACCGAGAATGGTATACGTTCGCATATTTTTATCGGGAAACAAAATATACGAATGGAGGGAAATTTAAATATTTGAAATACATTTGTAGAATGATTAACACTAGTTATTTGCATCATGAATTTATTTGAAATATCTAGTACCTCTAATTCTTATGACCTATATATACAGATGATAATGTGATAAAGTATAATACACGCATCATTTAAACATGTGTTAACAAATAAATGCTCTATACTAAAAGTAATTAAGTTCCAATTGTTTGGACTGGGTCCACAAATTTCTGTTCGTCCATATTTTTCTTCCCTTTTTATTTAAAAATACAATACATATAATACACCGTTTTGATGGTCTTAATTTTTGTAACGCAAAGTAATCGACGATGAATTGTTGTATCAAAATAATTCAAGAAATTCTTGAAAATTGAATACGAATCGTGCAATTCATATTCACGTGACTGCGGTATACATTTTCACAATACTTCAGTGTTCTTATATTACAACAACCAGTACGCAAAATGACTAACAAAATTAACTTTACTAATTTTTCATTGTATTTATTAAATAAAATAAAATATCACATAATACTATAACGCGTTACACTTGAAATCAACGTGATAATCACCGCCATGTTTAATTTTCTTTTACAAAAATATAAAAATTAAAATCTAGCAGTTATAAAATGTAAATAATAATGATTATTTTACATTATTATTGCACAGACTTTATTCTTTCACTAAATACTTTTCTGGATGAATTTCTTGTGTTATTTTGTTAATAAATGTTAGAAAATGGTAGACACCAGTCCGTAGAAATATAATCTTTCAACGGCGATAAAAATGAAGATATATAATACAATGATATGACAAAATGTAAGTTATAAATAACAAAATATACCATTTTCCACCGTAACAGGATGCCTAAGCCTTTCTTCTTTTATGGAAAAATCCATGATGGTCAACATTAAGTTATTACTAGAATTATTTTCATACATATACATATATATACATACCGTTTTCGCATTATACTTATTTAGTTCTTTTCTTTAATGTAATAGTAATAGCGAAAGTGAAAGTTAGTCAGTCAATAATACTAATTTAAGCCTCTCTTTTTTTTGTTTTTCATTTTGAGAATACAGGACCAGTTGAGACTGCGTAACTCATTACACCAATGTAGGACAATCATTTCCCTTAATCACATCCTATTATATTTGTCTTGGACAAAGGAATGGAAAAACATTTATCAAATGTTTTTGTACCTATGTGAAGAACGGAAGACCATCTCAGGGTATAAATTCTACAATGTGTCAGTTTCTTTTTTTCGACGAAGTACTAATTTTTTTTTGAAGCTATTACATCTTCTTTACAATAAGATTTGATATTAACAAATCCATGAGATATGTTTGTTTTAATTGAATACTTAAAAAACAAATAATAAGATTTTGTTACCTCAACTAAGTTATTTGAATTTTCCGGATAATTAATATTTAAACAAACATAAAAACAAAGCGAACAAAACATTTATAAACACCGATTATACATATCTCATTAGCTGTTAATGTGCCATATCTTTTATGGTACTCTAAACTGAATTATTCCTTTTTCCTTTGTTATTGACTTAGATAGTTATATACTGACAATATCTGAACAAAAATACCTGCATCTCTGTGTACGGTGATTTTAGAAAATAGAACTTTCCAACATTCAAAACAGAATGTTTTACCTAAGTTTCGCTAAACTGGGTTAAACCATTGTCGTGAATTAGTAACATTTTTAAATTATTTTGCAGCAGTTATGAAGATACGTATTAGTAATAGCTAGGAACTTGAAGAAGCATTACTTCCTTTTAGAATATACAAATGCCAAATTTATTTGATATTCATTTGTCGTGTAATGTAGGTAAATTTTAAACACCTACGGCATCTCATATCCATTGATACAACCACTTTCTTTCTCCGAATCACATTTAAGATTAAAACTTTCATTTTATTTACACAGAAATACTACACGTAAGATACTCTGTAGCAGAGGTAGAAAAATGAAATGAAATAAAAATATGAGGAATGGTCTTGATAGTCACGATATTTTTTGTTTTTTTCTTCGTTCAACGATTTTAAGTTGTAACGAAATCTTAAAGAAAAGTGTTAATTGTTTTAATATATAAAAGCATATCTAACTTGCCAACTGTGCAACGCTATTTTTTTTACATCTCAGTTTTATTTACAAGCATATTCTCGTCAGTAAATACACTTTGGAGAAAGAAGTAGCTCACACTATGTCTCAGATTCACCTTCTATTAGAAGGTAATCCTCAGTTGAGTGCATTCTTTCTGGCACGTGACGTCAATCATGTGTTTTACATTGTTTCGCGGAGCATAATAATGCCTATTTTGTAACACACGAGTCAAAATGATCGGCCTTTTTTAAAATGCCGAATGGTAGTAGTCATAAGTAGGCCAGTAAGGCTGTAGCCAGTCCTAGCTGGTGCGTTGACGCTTTTTGGCAGGGTGTTCCTCGGCGGAATGTGCAGGTGCAGGCATCACCATTTCACCTCTATTGAACATATACTTCAATTGTGGCATGTATTTCATTATACTTTTCACTTGTATCAAAGGTAGCTCTTCGTTCAGCGACGAACATTTTCCTGCTTCCATTAACATCTTCATTTGTAGCCTTCAAAGAAATGTACTTAACGTTAACATTGTTCATACTATTTCTTCTTTGTTACAATGTATTCTTCGTTTTTACCTGTTTCCTTGGTATAAGTCTATGTGTAGAACATCCGTAAGAACCTGCCGACAACTGTTGATATCGCAGGCAGGAAAATACTGGGCGACGAAATCAGGAAGCGTCATCAATAATTCAGAGTAAATGTATGGCTTAAAATTAATACAGGGTACCATTTTGTCTTCGACAAGTGCTTTCTGAATTTGATAAGGTTGAACTTGACAAGTTGACATAAGTGTTTCTGATATTGGAATCAATGGCTTTCTGCCTCTTGAATCCCTGAAAGAAATTTTCTTATATGTAGTAATAATAAATTTAATCATTTACTTTTCTCATTAAAAATTACAGGATATAAAATGTATAATTTAATACCTGGAACTATTATTACTTCCATTAACTGGTATTAATGGTGGTGGATATTTTGAATGATTTGTGTTATGAACAGCAGATGGTGTATGCCTTTGTGAGTGTAATAATGTAGATGGTGAAGTAGGTGATGGCATCATAGCTTGTACTTGTTCGCTTAAACCAAGCATCTGAGGGTAGGTACTTGCTGTAACAGCATTAGGTACACCTAAGGTAGGTGTAGTATACGTAGACGTGACCCTAAAATAAAAATATTTTATATTGCATATTGAGAAATATAAATAGTTCAAATATGTACATTCAACTATATAATTTAGATCAATTAATTACAAAATATTTAAAAAATATACATTGTTCTATACATTTTATGCATAATGTGTTTGTCCTTATAAACAAAAGAAAATGAATATAAAAATATATACATAAACCATTATAATATTAACTATGTGTATTGCTTTAATATTCTACAAAAACATTTTATGACGATCGCATAAATTTACATAAATAAAAAAATTATAAAAAATGAAATAAACACAATAGTTTAATTAACATAAAAAATAAGTAAAAAAATATAGAATAATAATAAAGGACAATTATTCACATTTTTCATATATATCAACATCTGATCAGTGAAATTAGCAAAATCAATGGTATTCAACAAAATATAAAGCAAATATGTATTATGTTTAGTAAATAAAAAAAAAATAAAAAAAAAGAAAAGAATAAATAGTATATAAAAAGGCAAAACAGGCAGTATGTAGTTATTGCAGTTTTATATAAATAAAAACTTGTTAATCACAACGTTCTTATGCATGCTATCTTACTTTCATGTGGTAATCATGACTATAGTACATTTTACAGGAACTCACCAGTCATCCTTCCCATAGGTTGGATAACTATACAAAAAAATCATACATTGTATGTACAAATGCAAAAAGCTATAGTGCAGGTTTTCCACATAATAAACAATAATTTTTTAAAGATAAAAGTATTATCAAGTACTTTGAAGTACATAAAAGTTCCCTAACATTTTACATTAGCATGCTTGAATTACTCTATTATGCTTTGTATTAAATATCAATTTTTTATATAAAACTATTGTAACTCCTTTGTACGTTTGTAAACTATATACAATGTGAGTGATATATACAGTGAAAACTTTTAATTAAGAGTTCATTTCATTTGTATAACATAACTTTCAAGCAGGAAATAATATTCAATGTGTAAGGATTTTAAGAAAATATTTAATATGGCGTGCTTTTTAACACTGAACTCACATCTAATATATAATTTACTGTTCTCAATCACTAAATCATAAACAAGCATAAAATATTGATAATGCTGTGTAAGACAAGAGGAAGTGCTTAATGTGAAAATGAAAAATAAATTGTCCTCAATATTCTAAAGCATTGTTTCAAAAACCTATACATGTATATATATAAAGAAACACAAACTTTAATAAATCTTTTTGTTACTTACCCAAGATTAGGTTGACTGGAATGGACTGTTGCTCTTACAAGAGGGGGTGGTTGAGCTTGAGCAACAGTCTGCATAGTCGTTACTGGATATACTCCAGAGTACTGAGCCGTTGCAGCAGTGCCACCACCCCCTCTAGTTCTACTACTTTGTTGTGAATAAGTTTTTAGCGGATTAGATATTTGCTGTAATAAAATAAACATCCTATATAAGTAAATATTACATTAATGTAATGCTGCTTTAGATTCCAAAGACAACACAATAAATATTATTAGTCTAACTTCAAACATAATTTAAAACTTACATTGTGCATGTTTAAGGTTGAAGGCATTCGTATAATAGAATTGGCCTGCGAAACAAGTGCCGTTTGGAAGGTAGGCTGTCCACCAACAAGTCCTGTCCACCCATTTACACTTTGCACTGTGTTCAACATGGGTTGTGTCACAATATTTGATCTGCTAGAGGGTAAAGCATTTGGCGAAGAATGTGCTGGATGAGTAGTGACAACAGGCCTTTGTTGGCGTTGTTGCACTTGTGATGCATTAGAAACAGATCCACGTGGTAGTATGTTGTGCATAGGAGCAGCACGTGCATTAACCGAAGCTTTGTTCGTGTTATTTTGTACAGGAACGGATTTGGTCGCCGGCGGTGTCGGAGGTTGTTTTGTCCAGCCACCACCACCACCACCACCTTTACTAGACACTAATAACTGAGAGTCCATAACTTTGGTTGGCCAATAGTCCTCAAATCCCGTGCCAGGGGGAAAGTAACTTTTAATGTCATTTAAACTAATCACCGAGCATGTCTCACTTGCAAAAAGTTCATTTCGTATACCCTGTACTTTGCAACAAAACTTCAAATACGACAAATCCCAGCCTTCGAGTTTTTCCGCTTTTAATTTAAGGTTCTCCGTCTCACCCTCAAAGTAAAACAAAGGGACATACTGGAGACCATCCTTCACTGTATAAGGAACGACTGATTCCTTGTTTATCCGGATAAACCCGCATTTGTCAGATCCATTTGTCACATTTGGATTTGTGCCTGTCGTTAATTTTGTGTAACACACATCCAAGAAAGTATAGAATTCTTTAGCATCAGACAGACGAACCACCAAGTCTTTACACGTAAACTGTTCCCTTCCAAACTGATTCTCACAATGTTTCACGTTGATCTCAGTGAACAATTTGCTTTCAGCCTCCGTGATATAGTAGCTCCTTATACATGTGCAACTGTAGATATCCGAGTGCAGATAACTCAGGTACTTGTTTAATAACTTAGATTCTAAGATTCGTACAGCGCAATACTTTTCGCCCGAGCGAAATATATAAGGTATGTGACAATCGTCGAAACTCGTCCAGCCGAAACGACCCCTCTGGCTTTCATCGTCAGGAGGTACCTTGCCCTCTGTCGAAGGCGGCTTCGTTGCCACAGTGGTCGACGAGTCTGCCGGTCGTTTGTTCAAGTATCCCAAAATACCGGGAAAATTGGATTGCGGCAGAAGACACTGAGGAGGCCTTTGCTGTTGCGATGGTGCCCCTGGTGCATTTACCATTTTCGCTTTGTTTGCTTCCACCATTTTGGCAGCCAATTCTCGGATTTCCGCTTCATCGGGAAGTTCTTGTTTGACGACGACTTTATCAAGAGCTGAAACAGAAAGACATGCTTTTGTTATTTACAACAGTATTTAATAGTACTTGAAAGGATAACTATAATAAAATTCTCGAGTTAACCCTTTGCACACCCTGCACCACCATGTTGCTACTGGTTGATTACTAATTAATATTTTGGTTTTATTCTGAAGGAATTTGGTGGTGTCTTAAGAATAACATGCTTAAGTAATGTCTAAATAAATTCCTCCGTAATATTGTTCAAATGAACTTGGATATGTTCATTTGTGTATCACTACTAAAAACTTGCAATATCCTTTATATAGTTTTATTCACACTCTTATTAATTATTTATCTCTCTCTAAATTATCATTTATGCATTCTTTAGTGCCAACAGCACACATGTAATCACCTATCTTTGGATAGATTGCGAAAAATTTATCTCGAGACTTCGGTAATATAACGGGTACCGGTAAAGTCTCCAAGGCCGCTGACACGCCACGTTAATTAACACGTGGTCAATTCTATTGTCAAGTTGGCACTTGGAATGTAAAGGGTTAATGAGTGTACGCGTTTTGCAACTACATTTCAGTAAATCATCTTTTGACGAGCGATTCTTATACAGAAACACATCGTTTTAACTTCTTTGCGCTTTTTAAATATGTTTAAAATTTAAGGTATTAATAGAAAAATGTAAAAAAACAATAAATCTTTTACACGATTCAACGCACATTTAATAATTTTTGTAAGTCATTAGGTATTAAGTTACAGTTGTTGGTCGGTGGAGAAAAGCGCGGGAAAATGAGCATCGCGTGTCAATGGACGTTCACGGACCCGTAACAAATTAAATCTGTCATTTCGTATGGTTCGCTTGTGTATACCTCACCAAAATGTTTAACATAAACTAAACATGAAAATTGCTTTTATCTTAAACAACATAAACGCTACAAAATTTGAGTGTCGTCAATTTATAATGATTTATATACGCGCATGCGCACGAACATCGCATTTGTACGATAAAACAATTAGTACACCAATATCGTCACAATTATAAACTTTGACGATTATTTTTTTAGTATTGAAGATTATTTTTGTACACGTTGATAAGAATAAGTAATAGCTCTACACCGTATTATGTACACTACCGAAGAACTAAAAAATTCAGAACAGTATGCTTTAGTCAAATTGAAAAACTACATTACTATTCATAATTTACAATTCCAAGTGGGCATGCATACATGACATTTAAGTAAAACAATCAGTTTAAAACGTTTCACTGTACATTTCATTAGCGCAGACAAGAAAAAGAAGCAAATTCTCGCGCTCTTTCCAACCGACATCGATCACCAACGAAAACAAGAGACGAACCGAAAGCGCGCGCACGTGCACGTCAAAAAATCATTAACAAGATTCGAAAGCACTAATTTCTTAAAGTACATCTTCCATTCCGTCAAAGGAAAGATGTATTTGGAACGTACTGAATGACACTTGATCGGGCACCGTCTGCAACGGACTCCTTTTCTCGAGCCATATGGCGTCCGTGCTGCTATCAGCATTCACGGTGTGCATGTCCGTAATGTCGTTCCTCATTTTTCGCTGATCAACAGTGTTTTCTATTCGAACTCGTTAAATCACATTTTGATAGAAGACGCGGACCAGCGAAGAGGTTATAACGCGGTGCGCCTACCGATGTACACTGTCGATGAGACGACACACGACCATGTTACACGACAAGGAACAGGCTCAGATGGAAAAGTTATATCCTCTCTCGGCTTGTGCAGTTTTCACGCTTTCCCTCGACGTTTCACTTTGTCTGGTGACTACGATTAGCGAGAAAGAGTTTACCACGCTCGAGGGATACATTTGGGGGTAGATATACGTACGTATGCACGTACGCGGTATCATTGACACTGACTACGTACGTATTCTTCGAACGGGCGTACCTCTGGACCCCGACGAAGCTTTCCCGTGGATTAAGCTGTTCTCGGGTGTTCTCGAGGGTGGCGCCATTTTACGTGGACTTGGCCTCTGTAAATCCTCGGTTTCAGGCCGCCCAGTAGGCCATGCCGTACCATCGAGCTGCCTTGCTTGCAGCTGCACGGGACACTAGGCAATTCCACGGTCTAGCCGACCGCGAATGCTACGGATCTGAGCGCTTCATTTTCCACGCGGACTGTACTACTAGGTACGCATTGCTATCGTCCTCCACGACACATGACCAACTTGACTTTAACTTTCCATTTTTACGAATCTTGTCGTTTGTACTTTCAAAGAATTATTGCAGCTTTCATTTTATGTAGGTTATTTTTATTATACGTCTGCATTAGCAAGGTGAGTTCCATCTACAATGACAATTCGTACTGATTTTATCAATACCGTACTAATTTTTAAACATCCGTACTGATTTCGAACATTTAAATGTACCTCGGACATTTATTATTTAGGAGGGCTGAAAAAATGTGTTATACATTCAACCCTGGAAGATTAATTAAAAATTTTAGAAATTTGGAAAATCATCAAACTGCACGACTGTCGTAAATTATTGCAATGGAATTTGATAGACAACGAGAAATAAGGTAAAGAAGGCTAACTTGAAAAGAAATGGTTTATTCGTTTGTAACTTTACGTATTTACAGTTGTTAGAAAGCCTCATTTTTATAACCAGGATACTATTGATTGTAATCGTTCATAATTTATATCTTTAGGGAAGGATTAGTACTTTGGATTAAAGATCTCCGCTCCTAATAAATAATAAGGGATCGACAAATGTTCCAATAGCTGCCGCCATCTAGCCATTGCGTCTAATATTATAAATTATACGGAATTTAGTTTCACGATGTAAACTACATGCCGCGCATGCGCCGATAATTTAAGTAAATTTAAAATCAAGTTTACCGCGGGTAAGTATAAGATAATTCTTAAATTGTTTAAACTATTACACATTAACTTGTGAAAAATTGACCGTTGATTTGTCGATAATAAATAAACTACAGAGTACAAGAAACATTCTATGTATACTAATTACCGTGTAACCGTACTTCGATGTTCGATCCACACCACTATATAAGAGTGTTGCGTGGCCGCAGTCTTTAGTCGAAGCCGAACAGTGACAAGTGGAGGATGTACTGAATTTTGTAATGCGAATATAATAAAAATCTTAATATACATTAATTAATTTCTCGTACATTTGATCAAAAACTAAAACATGTCAATGCATAAATCGTGTATTTTTTTTCATCATGTAATAATTTGAAAGCAAGTGTACCAAGAAACGACCCCGTACTTATTAAATGTACTGTGTTAATTATAGTTACATTTTCACTGTATATCCACCGTATGTAAATCTTTCGTTTTCCATCTGTAAAGCGTTGCCATTTTTCCTTGCAATAAAGCGAACGCGTCCGATTGTAGTTAGAAAGTTATGAAATTGAACACTAGGTACGTCACTGAGTCATATAAATAGGTGAACCGTATCCTCGATCAGATTTTGCATCGTGTGTCGGGGATCGGCTGCAGCGGCTAGGTACATACCGCTCAAAGAATGGCCAGGGCCAGCGCGTAAGATCGCGCAGACGATGTGACAACGTTGCACGGTCGATATGCTCTTTCAGGCAAAGTGCCAAGATTGGTAAACGCACGCGGGGGTATGTAGTCGCGGTTTCAGGTGCCCTTCCCTCCTCTAGCGCCCGCGTTTTATCCCCACCGCCACCCCCTGGAACTTACCCGTGGGATTCACTGTGATAGTGGGGGATGAGTGACAGGAGTGGGGGAATCGAAGCTGCGCAGAATGCGGCAGACACACGTCGCCGTTTGTGCCTCTGCGCAGCTCTTACATACATATACCCGACGACCTCCTATGTACTACATATGTATTATACTTATTATTTTAATCATGATTTACGGCTGCGGCGTTGCCGGTTCTCGTTGCAGGCACGCCCACTCTATCTCTTTTTTCGCTTTTTCACTCGTATATACAAATACATAGATGTATGGCGGAGAAAAGCAACGTCGCTTGATCGATACTTAAAGAAACGCGAAATCAAAAAAAATACATCAAAACGTATTCGTGATTATATTATTAATGACTATATACGTATATTTTGATATAATTTGTCGTTTTTTGGTCAAAAAGTGGGGGAACGAAGGCATTCGATCGTCTGTTGCTTTTTTGTTCGTATAATGTTTTTGTTAAATGTTTAACGAAAAAAAAATTGTAGTCATACAGTGTTGCCAATACAAAATGGCAGACGTGACCTTGATTGGTCCGGTTTTTTCTATAGCAAACGCTGGGCCAGTCGTTTTGGCAACGCTGGAAAGTCATAGCGATCTATTTATAGTAGCCCTCTATTGCTGCTGTTGCTATGCCAGGCGAAGACACGTTCAGTTTGCGAGGAGGGGAGTCACTAGAATATGGAGGGGGGAGATTGCCAAAGAACAATATGGCGTTGAACCGGATGTGCCCTCTACCAATCTATACGTTCTCTTTGCCATAACTGCGGCCTTTTTCTTTCTAACAATCTTTTCCAAATCAATATTATGAAATCGAAATATGAAATCATAAAAATAAACATGAATATATCGTGCACATAAGAACTATAATTTAAATGGAACATATTCCTTCGATCGCGATAAAATAAACGACTTAGAGGTCATCATTTCATCCATTTCATTGAATAAGGGGACACGGAATTGAAGGAAGAAAAAAATATATGTTTCATTTGTAATAATGGAAGAGGATAACCCAAGTATGGGTAGATGTAATTTTTTGCGCAACTCGGTAGAATTACACATGGCGCTGTACACTTCTAGCAGCTGACAAGCTTCGTGGTGTGTATTCGTAGAACACGAGCACGCATGCGACTCGACGAAGCCGCCGCTTCGGGAGTGTTCGGCTAACTTCGGTAAGCTGCCTCTTCGTTACATCATTCTTTAGCTCCTATGTAGTACATAGGGGCGGGTACATTATATACTTCGCCTGCATATACATATTTCCCTCCCGACTCTCGCTCGCCGTATGTACCATGTATATGGTTGCCTGTGCATATATGTACCGGCGGAGCAAATGGGCGGGCGATCGGAGGAACGAGCTGAGCTCCGCGTTACACGAGGCGTAGAGACGCGAATCAAATAGAACCATTAGCGCACAAAGTATACGTGTTTTTATCATCGATAATGTTGCCAATGTTTTCAAATATTTAACGATTATAGTAAAGGCCCAACCCTTGCAAGTATATCTACTGTGAGTGCTACAGATACTTTGAGTTATGGCCGCGTATTCATCGAAAAAATGCGGCGCTCGCAATTATTCGCAGAAATATAACGATTATAAATAACGATTCCGGAGTGATCTTGCTATATTTTTCTACGACGGCAAATATCCTACTGTATATGTAGGTGTAGAAAAACCTAATATAGTATGCCTCATTATAGCATGTGCGCTATAAATATCATTTTTAAAATATTCCCAGTATAATTTTGCTCTGATGATAAATGACTGCCTTAAAAAACCATTTATATTTTTTTTAAAATGTAAGTATATCTCCTAGTAAATAATCAATAAAAATGGAATATCTAAGTTATGTTCCAATTCTATATTCTTTAATCTAATATTCCAAAACTATGGTTACTTTGGGTAATTCAAATTACGTTTAGGTCTATTCATATTAAATTCATGCACAGTTAAATTTACTCACATTGGATTAAATGTACTCATATTAAATTAGGATCGAGATAGGTCCACGCACTTGAAATTATGTTAAAGTTATGTCCAGTCAGATGAGGTTAGAATTAAGTGTACTTATATTAAGTTAGGATAAATTAAAATGCATTAGCTTAAGATTAATAACAGTCACTGTTATATTTTTTTTTTTAATAAATAATGCTAATTGTAACTTAAGGTGTTCACAGTAATCGGTGTTATACTTAATATACTTACAAGGCTAGGACCTTATGAATAATTATCACGACTGTAAAAAATTTATGGTTTATGTTCATTGTAAATATTAAGATAATAGAACATTAAACTAATAACTTCAGCGCTGTTAAGTATTATTGCTTAATAAGGAAAAAGTACATTGGAAAAACCAGTAGATCAGTAACACATATTTTGAAAAATGTAAAAATATTGAAACGTTAACAAATGCATATATAAAGAAAATATGATACCGTTTTCCTTGATCATAACAAACTTAAAGACGGCCGCCATACTATTCCTCGCCAATGTCTGCGATCGATTAATTTTCAACGTTCTTCCACTTTTTTGTTGTTGTTATTTTCTGTACTTATTAGCTATTAATAGTACAATGTCAGGTTATGTTCATAGACAAAAAATGTGTTTTTTTAAAATCACTAGAAATCGATATAAAAATAGTTGAAAAGCAGGATCAAATTGAGGTGGTAAACAACCGACGATCATTTTTAACAATTGAAGAATACTGCATTTATATGGAATACCATTTTTTTAACTAACATAAATGCATACGTATGGCAGTTTCTAATCATTTAATTCAATTAACATAAGAAGTAATATAATTACTTGAGTCTGTAGTGCTAACACAATCCTTTCTAACCTAACCTAAAAACGAAGAGCGTATGTGAAATTATTGATGAATAAGTAGTTAATAAATAAGGACATGTTGGAATGCTTTAATCTTGCTGTACATTACTAAATGAAATATTTATTAAAAAAAAAAACTATGTATAACACTGCCAGGATCACTTTACCGGCTGCTTTAAATAAACCATGACGTCATCCACTATATACACGGATAAAATGAAATGAGAATTAACATCCTTTTGCCTTTTATTGATCACATTTCGAAATATATTAAAATTAAACCTCATTAGCAACGGTTAATTAAGTATGTAAATAATGGATATTAATTAATGTGTATTTGCATAAACGTATCATTATTTTTATTAAATTTGTTGTACGTGTGTCGTCGACAGATATGCAGTTACAATACGTATGGAAAGTATTGCATTTCTCATCTACGGTCACGTGAGTTTCGTATTACAACGATGTGTAAATGTTTACTACTGTTTAATAGTACACTTTGTTCCTATCCACATCAAAATTTTAAAAACGACAAAATACGAAATAATTTCGTAGACACGTGACTTAAAAATACGTCCACGAGAAATAAACATCTTTAGACCCGAGATTCCTAAATTTTTATGGACCGAGACCCACTTTCCAAAACGGTATTTTTTCGCGATGCACTCACTTGTAATCCATATTTTAAAGGAAGCAGAAACGGGTCTCAGGTTGAATAAAAAGTATCATCTTACTATTTCGTAATTATACATGGAAAATTCCATTCTCGTTATACATATATATATGTATTATTTTTATTGTTATGAGTTATGCTGAATATTCTTCAGTAAAAAAGTATGGCAATCGAAATTATTAACGTAATCTAATCTAGCATAGATAAAGTAATGTATTAAAGTTTATATATCTGCAATAATCGTTAATTTGAAATATTAGGTTAGGTTTGAATTAATATAAAAATGATAATGTACCAAAATTCGTATGTCTGTAATAATCGTAAATTTGAAATATTAGGTTAGGTTTGAATTAATATAAAAATGATAATGCACCAAAGTTCGTATGCCAGTAATAATCGTAAATTTGAAATATTAGGTTAGGTTTGGATTAGTTAACTAATATAGAGATGGTAATGTACCAAAGACCGTACACCTGTAATAACCGTAAAGTTGAAATATTAGGTTAGGTTTGGTTTAATTAACATTGTATGGAAACAGTAATGTACCAAAGTTTATAGACTATCACAATTATACATTTAGAATATTATATTAGATAACGTCATTGTACCTACACTAGGTTAGGTTATGTTAGAGATAGTACATTAGGTTAGTTTATGTTTGTACACATGAAGTTAGGTTATAGTGTATTATTTCATACGTATTAGGTCAGACTAACTTAAATATTGTCATGTTAGTTTATATCTACTAATGTTAGGTTACATTGTTTCCCTACCAATATTAGGTTAGGTTAGATTAATGATTTCGATGATGATGATTAATGTTATGGGCATCGACTGCCATGGTCATTAGCCCAATGATTTCGATTATTAAACTTTCTTATAGCGGATGCTGAGCATGATTCAACTATTTATACATAATTATTTTCAATTTTAATATTTAATGTAAACCATCTAAAGTCTCTGGTGACACACTTCAGAAATCCGTTTTGAGAATCCAAGAATAAAACAACGTAAGTTGTACTGCAACCGAAGAATCGCAACATGCACGTTTACAAAAAAAAAAGTCACGTTAGTCAATTGGAATAATATTAGAAGTAAACATCGTGAGATATGCAGTAAACAATACCAAATCTCATCAAGATTCCACGTGTCGTTGTTGTTGTTGTGATAAATTGTCAACAAAGGTTGCAGACGTTGACAGGTAGTCGCAACGAGAGAGCACGTTTCGCCGGGCTTCCACGAGGCACAGCTCGCAGAAAACAGAAAGCACGACGGGAACATCACTGGTAGTGCACCGCGGGTAACGCGTGATTGGACGCGGTAGGAAGACGAGAAAAAGATGAAAAAGGATGGAAACAACTATCTAACAAGAGACGAATATAAATGTACGTCGGGAGAGAACGAGACAGAGAGTATTTAGAGAGGGAGGAGAGGGGAGGCGATACGCGCGAGTCTGCTGTCGCTGCCGCCACCGCTACCGCCGCCACCCATAACCTCAAATCTTACCTTTGTTGAGTCGGGCTTCGACGATCTGCACGTCCTCGTCGACGCTGCTATCGCTCATCTTCTTCTTCTTCTCGTTAACCTGAATGTCCATACACATAATTCCACAACACCGTACAACACTTTCGCCACACGGTCACACAACCCCTATGTTCCCGTGACATTTACATTAAACCGTGTATACGTGCGCGCGCGTAAAATTCACACTTACGAAAGGGTCGTCGCACGAGGGCGCCGCGAAATCCGCTCTTTTCGTTTACGAATCTATCCCGTGCCGTGGCTTAGACATCGAGGAAATGCACAGCCGCACCGGACAATTCTGGACAGTTCCGCACGTAGTGCCTATTCGAAATTGTACACGCTATTCTATCGCGGCCCGCGTTTTCTGCTGTTTTGCGCGGAGGCGAACCGAGAGGCCGACCGGGTTCCGTCCAGATTTGAATGTGGTACACGTTGCCAGTTCTTTCTCGTACCCCCCTTCGTCCCCCCCACCCATACGACCTTATGTACTTAACGGTTGCGACGTTGCCGCACATCCGGTTCCACCGGCCAAGTGGTGGGGGAATGAGAATTTTGCACAGGAGTGGGGGATGTACATAAGTACCTGACAACCGCGTAGTGGGGACTCGGACGGGGGAAGGGGTGAGCAGGGGTTGTGTACATAGAGAAGGGGGGGCGGGTTGTTGCTCGGGAATGGGAATTTTCCATGATGCTTCAGGGCAACGGCGACCGTTAGCTGGGTCACGTGGTCTTACCGGAAGTCGTAAGGGAGACGCGCCACGATGCGCGCGCCCTCCTTTTCCGTTGTAAGTTTCTTTATTCTTATCGAAAATATATTCATTTTCCGTTTTCTTTTTTTTTTTTTACAAAAAACGCCATGTTAATATTTTTTATTTTTATTTTATTTGCTAATTCTGTACATTTTGTAAATAGATCTCGCATAGTTCGGTATGCGAAGTGTCAAGGACAAAGTATAGTTTCCGTCTCACGAATTATACATAGCTGGATTAGTGTACGAGAAGCGTAACGAATATGATGTCAACAATGTATGCGATTTTTTTCGTCGAATTTGGCGGGAGAGTAGACAGTATAGTAGAGTAATGCCTTGTAAGATATGTAAACGATGTTTTTTTGGGTCCTTAGAAGAAGTATTTTCTGTAATCTGATAAAAAAAAGTAAATACGTATAATATTTTTTTTTAACGATTTTTCGGACGCTGTAGAGAATATAATAAATGAGGGAATGAATTTATCGGTGAAAATTTAATTGGAAACATGAAATACATTTTCTATCACAGCTCTTTTCCGGTGTACTTAATATCTAAATGAAAAGCTAATCACTTTACGCAAAATTTTCCGTGCATATTTTTCGAAAATGCTTTAATAAATATACAACGAGACGAGCATATTGTATAACAATTTACATACGTGACGTAGTATTATAAATAATGCGCCACTGAGAAATGTAATTACATTTATATTCAAAGTTTAATACAAAATCATAAATTAATTTAAATAATTTTATGTACAAATATTTATGTGCACACGAACAATCCGGGCAGCTGAATTTAAGCGGCCATTTTATGTTTTAATCGTAAATTGTTAATTATTGTATTATGCAATGCTCGATCGATTCAGTACCATGTTGCGTGTATTCTTCGATATCTTTAGTAGCTAAAAGGCCTTTGGTGCTCTCAGCCTCTTTCATCCACACTTGTACCTGTTAATTATCATAACACAATATGTAAAAATATGCATATTTCCATGTAATGTAAAATTACAAACTTAAATTTTAAATATTTGTTTCTTTTTTTATACATTGTTTAACAATTGTATAAAAACAATTACTTTGTATACAGGATGTTTCAATATCGATAATATAAACGAGAAGGGGATGGTTCTAACATCCTGTATGTATTTTTACTTTATATATGGAAGTTATAAGCTTATGTACTTTGTTACCGCCGCATCAAATTACCATATTTACGGCGGCCATCATTAAAATGCGTTATTATACTGCACGTGGCATCGCCAGGACCATGTATGCAAACTATAAGCGATTTTCCTTTATTTTCCCGATTGCTTTGTAAACTATGTACAATTTTATATCAGGACATTAGACAAAACAAAAATATAATAAATTGTTGTTAATAAAAATCACCTGTTTATATAACAAATCTCTTCTTCGTCCTACCGGTTCTTTTCCCAGCAGGGGTACTAATATCCCTAAACAAGACTGAAATTTTTCTAACGCGAGAGCATAATTTCCCTCGGCAAGATACTGTTCAGCAACCTCTCCTATCTCGAGCGCATCCGCCATACTTGGTGTAGTTTTGCTAAGAATTCCTATCAATAAATAGATAAGCACATAATTTAACAACTTCTTTTGCGCATTAATTAATCTCGCGTGCATTAAAGAATAAATAATGATAGTAAATAAAATTATTGGATTTGTATATTTTATTTAAGGAATTATAAATATTCGTATACAGACGTAGTTCGTGGTATACAAATGAAGATCCTTCGTTCAAGGACGGTATCCTTTGAATGGACGACAAATTTCCCTTATCTTCCGCTCGTGCACACTTGCTTTTATCGCTATCATCATCTAAATATGATGCTTTGAGCTTCTCTGCTCTTCTAATGTAATCGTTAACGTGGATTCTCAACGTTTCTTTTCGCTTAAAGTCAGTCTCACCTAACGAAACGAACTCAAATTAGGAGATATGGCTCCCGCCAAGATATAGCGAGATCGTAAATATCACCCCTGTTTTTAAGGTTTTATAACAATGTCGGAGAATTTTAGGACTTTGGAAGTTTGGAATTTCGAAACTCTGAAGCTTTGGAATGCTGGAAGTTTGGAATATGGGGATATTTTATGATTTAGAAATTTTACATCATTGAGAATTAGGAATTTGGGACCTTTAAATATTGGAACAATAATTATCTTTTCACCGATTTCGATAACCTTGAAATACGTTATCAAGGTTAACGTCCTGACTATCTTTGCTTACACATGTAACCATCTTTTGGCCTCAGTAACGTTAGGAGTACAGGTATTTGTAGGTTATCGGGACACAAATACTACATTCCAATATGGCATATCCTATTACTATACACTACACCATTCGTTTATTTGTTCTCAAAGAATATTCTCGGTATAATGCACGGCTGTACTATATTACAAAATATATAACCCTGTTATCATTTTAGCTGCGACATGAACTCAGCTAAATATGAATCCAGATGATATCACCTATGGTGTAGACGATATATGATAGCAGAATACGTCACCGAAATATAGCACGCTTGAATTAAAAAAAAAACCAATGGTATAGTCAATGTACGTATAGTCAGTGATAAACTTAATATGCATTTTTTTTGCAAATGAAACTGAAGAACAGTTATACGAACAAAGGGAAAGTTATTCGGAATTCTGTCCTTGACAGCGTAATTCAAGGTCACTGAAATTGATGAGGTGTGACCGTTTCTGTATAATCGAATGTTGAAACTATGCTGTATTAGGATTTTGAAATACTGCGAGTTTCAAAAGTTTAGAGGCTGCAATTTTATTTTGGGTCTATTAGGACTTAAGGAGTTTGAAATTTCGAAACTTCTGGAGGTTGTTGGAATGGAATGGAATTTTTTGACTTTGGGACTTAAAAATTTTGGAATTAAGAATTACGGAATTTTTTAATACTGGGATTTTTTAATGTTGGTATTAGGGAATGTTGGGAGTTTGAAGTGTTGAAACTTTGGGACTTGAGAACTTTGGATTTTCTAAGTTTATGAATTTTGGACTTTGAGATTTTGGGAATTTGGAATTTTGGGATTTTGGAACTTTGGAGCTTTAAATCTTTGGATCTTCGGAGTTTCTGAATTTTTGAACTTTGAACTTTGAGATTTTGGGAATTTGGAATTTTGGAATTTTTGAACTTTGGAGCTTTAGATCTTTGGATCTTCAGAGTTTCTAAATTTTTGAATTTTTGAATTTTTGAATTTTTGAATTTTTGAATTTTGGGGATTTTGGATTTTGGAACTTCGAAGCTTTAGATCTTTGGATCTGCGGAGTTTCTGTATTTTTGAACTTTGAGAATTTGAGATTTTGAAACTTGGAACGTCGGAATTGTAGGACTTTGTGAGCTTGGGACTTCGAACTTTAAAACTCTGCATTGGGGCGTCATCTTGAAATTTTTGAACTCTGAAACCTCAGAATATTGACATTTTGAGACTTCGTTCTTAGACTTTAAAGAGTTCAACGACCTCACTATATACTCTTAATCCTCGTTATAACTTCGCAGATGCAGGATCGTTTTGACCTAGTTACACAAACTCCATTTTAAATTTCAAATTGAATATCAATAAAACACATCCCAGATTTTAACTGACTCTCCATTTTTCAAAATGAGCTAAAAATAATTCTAATAACATAGATTCATATACCCTCGCTGCAAGTTTAATGAAACGCCCTATACAATATATATTTTATCTAATTTAAATATAATATTTTGTCATTGAAATATTTCTTAAAATTTAACATACAATTTCATCTGCAAATGGCACATAACTAAGATGATTAATGGATCAAAATAAATCCCGTATCTGTTGTGTAAGTTTCATGGCATCCCTCTACAGGGGATTAAGTTAGATTTCCATGAATGTGTTGTTCTTACTTGTTAAAATAGGAATGAAATATCTAAGAGCCTCGCAGTAAAGATGAAAAGCTTCTTTGGAATTTTTCTCGCTATCATTTTTCACAGCCTCTTGTATTAATTCTACCGCCTTATCGTAATTTTCCTTTGTAGGAGCATGAGACAAATCCAGAAAATCGTGGGCAAAAAATTCATCGAACGTTATCCTCTCTTCGGGGTCGTGTTTCAGTAAGGACATCAACAAATCCTTACATTCGGGTGATATATAGGATCCCTTAGGCAGCTGTAATTTTTGTCATCTTTTATTGTTGCAAATTTTTTTTTATTTTTGCAAATTTACTCTTTTAATGCGTATTAAGTTTCAATAGGTTTTACCAATGTTAACTAGGTCTACTTCTGATTTTTACAAGATATACAAGAGTATAATAAATGGGGGTTTCTTCTATCCTTAGACTACTAGTGTGAACCAGCCTTTAGTACTACTGTTTTGCTAATGTAAACTAGGCTTTAATATTCTACTAGCTACTTATTTATTTGAGCATAGTATTTTTATGAATATAGTATTTATATGAATATTGTCCTATTTATACAAATATAATATTTTACTTATTTGGTCTACCCTTCATAGTATCAATGTGAACGGGGCTTTATGTCTCTTTATGTCTACCAATGACTTTAATATACTTCTAAATATTTATTCTATTTATATAAGTATAGCAATTGATTATTTTACTATCCTCAATGTAAACTAGACTTTACTGTACCACTTGCTCAATATAAATCTTTGTATATTTACATATGTACTTCAATACGGTGTTGTTTACCCCACTACATCTTAATGCGTACAGTAACCGCTTTCTTCTCTAATGTGAACTAAGCATTGCTATACTAACTCCTCATTCAACAGTTGCGTGAGTATAACAAAGGTGACTTCTGATAACTTACCCTACTCATCATGAAGTTTACATAAGTACAGAATGTTTCGTACTCTACCAATGTGAACTAGGCTTTACTATCATACCTCAACAATTTACACGAGTACAATAAAGGGAATTTCATTGTTAACCTTACTTACCCCATTTCTTCAGGTATAGTGAACTTATCTTTCCAACTAACTCTTGTTCTTAAATACATAGCAGGTAAACCAATAAAATTAATCTGCATACCTAACGGTACAGTATACCTAAGTTAGGGGTAAAAACTATCGGGGACACCTAATAATGTTCGCTTAAAAGAAATTTATGATACAATCACCTCGATAGGTCGTCTGTCCTTGATCTTTTCAGCTAATTCTTGAAAGCTACTGCTAGAATATGGAGCTTTGCCGAAAAGACACTCGTACATGATCACACCGACGCTCCACAAATCGACGCGGGCGTCGTATTTGTGTTTCAATAAAATCTCGGGCGCCATGTACAGAGGGGAACCCCGGATCGCAAACTTTTGTTCGGAGTTCGAAAGATACTGAGCGAAACCGAAATCTGAAATGAAACAAAGAAAAAAAACAAAATGGTCGAATAATCGTAACGAGACATTCCCCACACGAACCTCCGAGTTTCAGTACCAATTGTGGCCTTCTGGTTAGTAGCAAGTTCTGCGGTTTCAAGTCCATGTGAGAAACATTGTGATTGCGTAGATATCTCAAAGCTAGCGCGAGCTGTTGCAAAAATCTACGACAAATCTGTTCGGGTAGCTTGTGTTTCTTCCTTATAAAGCTCGATAAGTCACCGCCATTGCAGTACTCCATCACGATGTATATGTGCCTGCGTTACATACTCATTCATTCGAATGCAACTTTGCGCATTTATGGAGTACTCCGATACTAGAATAACCCTATGCCTCATTCGTGCCTTATCGGTTTTTAGACGAATACTAACTTCAAAGTTAAGTTTTCCATTTTTCGCGCGTAACTCTTGAAATATAAGAAAAATATTCCCAACAAAAATTTACTGATTCAGCACTACAAATCTGTTTTACCAAAATTAAAAAAAAATTTTTTTTCTCAAGAAATTTTGAAAATTCGATTTTCAAAATTTTGTCAAGACAGGTTTGTAATGCTCATCGAAATATTAAAGTTTTTTATAAGAGATTTTTCTATAACTTCTATACTTTAAGAGTTATGAGCGAAAAAGTAAATGGCCGACTTAACGTTGAGGTTAGCTTCGTGCCCTCACGGGGCGATTAGGCACGAATGATACTCGTGCCTAATGTGAGTATTCTAGTATTGAATTTCTGTACGAATGCGGTAAGTTGCATTGAAATTGAGTGGAGGTTTAACTAACCCTTCGTCCCAGAAAAAATCTCTCATTTCCACGATATGCTCATGCTTCAATATCTTTAAGAGATTGATCTCGGTGACGAGATTATCGATAGCCGATTTGGAAAGCGATGATTTGTCTACACACTTGATTGCAACTACCTCTCGGCATCCATCCTACAAAACGACCAACAATAGCTTGCGTTAAGTCGCCTTGAGATAAACTTACTTGTTTTTTCTTTCTTCATGCTTCAATGCAACAACCATCTTTTCTGGCTACCTCTCAAATCAACGGTGTCATTCGGTGGTCAAAGTTCAGTCATTAAAATGAATTTGAACAAGTTGCATTTGAATCCATGTCTCGCTAATATAAATCAATAGTGAACCGACGAGACAGAAAAAAAGACCAGTGCAAAGGTTGGTTAATTTCAACGAGTTTGTTTAACGTGATTTCTACAATATTGATACTACAAGAGATAAGAACTGCAGCGGCCATAAAGGGCACATGCTTATATTACATCCATTTTGACTCAAAGGGCTCCTTTCACTTTTTCGCTCATAACTCTTAAAACGTTCAAGACATAAACAAATGTTTTAAATAAAAATTTTATGGTTTAATAAGAGCTACAGATCTATGTTAACTGATTTTTAAAATTAATTTTTATAACGTTTTTTTTTATTAAAAAATAATTTTTTGCAAATTTTATTAACGTGAGTCTGTAGCTCTTATTATTCCAATAAACTTTTGTTTGAAACGTTTTTTTATATTCCTTTTATTGTAAGAGTTATACACGAAAAAGTAGGGAGGCCGATGTGTCTTTGAGGTTAGGTTTCGCGTCCTTTAAGGACCATTGAGTATGAATGAGGTATACCGTTATTTTTGTAATAAATTTCTGTATAAAACCATAAAGTTTGGTACAAGTTAGTAAGAGTTTACAATGTACCCTTATAAGTGCTCGGGGCAAGTCCGTATGCCCGGGTGCTAGAATTAGGTTCTGATACAGCATATTTATTATAATTAATGTACGATGCATCGAACATTGATAATGGAACTGCGCGATAACTTATCGTTTGCTGGTATTGATTTTCCATTAATCTATTATATAAAGAAAAATTATCAATGGAATGGCTTAATCCTTCCTAACCTCTCTCGGGTATATGTATATTTATGACTGACTGTTTTCTTCGGATCGATAAAAAGCAGTTATCTCGAGATTCAATTATGACTTTGTCTCCGAGTTTATTTAATAAGGTTTTGTTCGATAATGGCAATCTGATTAATTATTAAACAGCCAAAAGTTAATATGACTGTAAAATTACAAATTCTAATAAAATTTCACTAGTTTATAAATAATAATGTAGATATTACTTTTGAACGCGTTTGAATTTCCCGCGAAAATTTAAAAAATTAGAATGCTTGCGAAATACTAGATATAAATATCTTATCAGGTATTATTTAATCTTAATATTTTAAATTTATTGTGCGCAATGTGTCTAACGTTGCCCGTGAAAGATTCATTAATATTTTATTACTGTATTCAAAGCAAATCGATTAACGATCTGTTATGGTACTGCAGTGTTCTACTCTAAATGTACACAACGAAAAAAGGTGCAAACATGTGTACTTATTGACTCAATCAATTCGAATAAAAAGAAAACTAATAAAAATAGATTTTTATGTAATCTAAATCGCAGTAAATCACTCGAATATAAATGACACAATTCGGAAAAAAAAGTCGCGGCACCCGCAAATCTAGCTACAATCCTGTCTCATCATATGTTTTGTGTATTGCTCCGAACCTCAAAATGCACGTACCTTTTTGAATGCTTTATAAACCGTCGCATAACTTCCGGAGCCGATTTTTTCTAACAAAAAATAATCACTTAAGCTGGGCAAACTCATTTTGCTCGATAGCCGTTTAATTCACTCCGACATTTGTCTCAAATATTACAACGCTATGGGGTTAGCTTTAACTTGACGGAACGATGTGAAGTTGCTACTTATTGCTCACATTTGCATTGGCGTAAGATTTCGATCGTAGTTTCTTATCATTTTTAAATATGTTATCATATATAAAAACATATATCATGAAATAAAACCTGTGCAAAATTATTTTTATCCATTAAATTTTTATTTAATTTATTGTTTTTTTACTCCGTTTATTAAGTTTTTATTTGTGTTACCACATTTTTATTCGGTTTGTTAAATTTTTAGTCGAGTTATTAAATTATTATGTAATTTATTTATTTTTTTGGATTTATTGAATTTTCTCTTCTTTTACTGATTTCTGATTCTGATTTGAATATTGTTTTTTTATGGAAAGTGAAATTGAAAATTAAATAAATCCATTAATTCATTGTTGACGTTGCGCAAAAATCAATTTTTGAATTTGGCGCCCTTCATAGATACGCCCATGGATATCAGCTGAGTTGCATAAGCAGCGCACTTCAAGTAGTTGACCATAGTCAGTAAAACGGTAGTTGGTGACGAGGACGTTTCGTCGTCGCGTCACTAATAGATTTTTCAGTTCCTCGGATAGTATTGCGTGAAATTTTGTGTTTATTCATATTCATCGATCGACTGCCCTTAACTTCATACAACGAACGCGAATCGAAAATAACAAAGTATTCTTCAGTCATTGAGAAAAGTCATTTGTACTCATTACTATGGACGTGACAGCAGTGATCGAGCTATAAGCTCGTCCCGTGTCTCGTAGCAAATGGTGCAGTCTAGATTAACTTATGGATTAGTCTACTGATTTGTCGAATGCAATGGATGAAAGGATTGTTGTGAATGGTAATACACCTTTCATCTTAAGATCGATATATTTTTAAATATCGCGTAAGGTGTGTCCGATGTTCATTGATTCAGTTTAGTACCTTGTTTTTAAGTTATTTATATTCACTATAATATCGTTCATTAATTTTGATGTATTATATTATTGTTGCTTGAGACATAATTTATGAAAAAAGAAGCTCAGTATGTGATCAAGATAAGAACTGAGGTACACTTATAGATATGAATTTACTTATTAATTTGTTGAAATGATTAAAACAATTCCATTTGATGCATGTAAGGTCACAATTATAAATTGGATATAAATTTATATTTAGTTCGACTTATCAATAATACGTTCCGTAAAATTACTGAATACTAAAACAAAACAGTAAAAGTAATTAAAATATCAACTCCATAAATACAAAGGCCTCATTGGATAACGTGTATACAGGAGATTTCTGATTGGCCAATAGCTCGGTAGCTCATTCATCGTTTTTGCCGTGACAATAGCGTTTGGTGCATCAGCTGCCGGAGTTCAACTCGGATGTTTTGGCAGCTGATTTTATTCTCTCTTATGTCGATCGAAAACATATTCTGAAGTTTCATTCGTTCATATCAGTCACCGTAACGCGTAGTTGTTATTATTCTGTGATATTTTATCGACAGTTTAAGTAAAGAGAAATGAACGATAAAGCTTCTTGCTTTATTCGGGAAGTAGCGAACGATGACGTCATGTGCTGAAACATAAGCTGTTTTCACCTTGTTCCGCTACAACAGTATTTCGCGGGTACAGGTGCGATACGTTTCTTTGTAATGTTCAAGTTTTCTTAACATCCATTGAATACATTGGATATGATTATATTGATATTGTTACTTTTTGTGTAGTTATTTTAAAACCTCGTGAAACATAAATTGATATAAAAATGTGTCAATGTACTGTTGTATGTTCAATGGTGGTTTCATTGTTTGCAACAAAATATGGATTTTAGGATAGAGCTCCAGAAATAGAAATTTCATTTCTTGATTTTTATGCAGGTGCAAAATAGATAGAAAGAATTATATTTATATATTGACTATTTGAAAAATAAAAGGAATTATAATGGATTCTGAAGAGGAAATGTATGATGATGTTGATTCTGGTAATGAATCCAGCGGGGATGATGTGGACTTTGCAATGGAAATAGAAGCTGGGAATCCAAGAGAACGGGCAACAGATGTTGATGATTATCCCTTTGAAGTTTTGTCTACAGAAGAAATAGTGCAACACATGGTTGATTCCATTAAAGAAGTCAACACAGTTGTGGAAGTAGGTTAAAAGACTTCAGAAGATATTTCCTTTCCCATATCAATGTGATTGGAATATTTTGATTTTATTGTAGATACCAGCAACAACTACTCGGATTTTATTAAATCATTTTAAGTGGGATAAAGAAAAATTGATGGAACGCTTCTATGATGGTGATCAAGAGAAATTATTTGCAGAAGCCAGAGTTATTAATCCATTTAGAAAGGGTCCACTAAATAGAAATCGGTCATCACAAAGTTCTCTGGTGATTAATGTTTACTGCTTTTATTGTGTGTCATGAATGTAATAAAAATAATGAAGGTCGTATGATAATATGTTTACAGTCTAGAAGAACTTCAACAAATGGTACTGAGGAATGTGGGATTTGTTTCACGGTGCAGCCATCTGCAGTATGTATATATAAAATTTAGTTAAACTCGATATGATTATTTCCTTTATTAAATTACTTGTTTTTAACAAAACTTAGATGATGACTGGTCTTGAATGTGGGCATCGCTTTTGTACTGGTTGCTGGGGAGAATATCTTACCACTAAAATTATGGAAGAAGGAGTGGGTCAAACGATAGCATGTGCAGCACATGCCTGTGACATTTTAGTAGATGATGCTAGTGTTATGCGTCTTGTGAAAGATTCAAAAGTTAAACTGAAATATCAACACTTAATAACTAATAGTTTTGTTGAAGTAAATATCATCACCATCATATTTATTCGCTTAACAAATAATTTCCACAAAACTAATTATATTATCTTACAGTGTAATAGGTTATTAAGGTGGTGTCCATCTCCAGATTGTAATAATGCTATAAAAGTACAGTATGTAGAAGCGAGACCAGTAACTTGTAAATGTGGACACACATTCTGTTTTCATTGTGGTGAAAATTGGCACGATCCTGTGAAATGTCACTTGTTACGTAAGTGGATCAAAAAGTGTGATGATGATTCTGAAACATCAAACTGGATTGCTGCAAATACAAAAGAGTGTCCAAAATGTAATGTCACCATTGAGAAAGATGGAGGATGTAATCACATGGTGTGCAAAAATCAAAACTGTAAAACTGATTTTTGTTGGGTGTGTCTTGGACCTTGGGAACCACATGGTTCCAGTTGGTACAATTGCAATCGTTATGATGAAGAAGAGGCTAAAGCTGCAAGAGATGCTCAAGAAAAATCACGCTCTGCATTACAAAGATACTTATTTTATTGTAACAGATATATGAATCATATGCAATCATTGAAATTCGAAAGTAAACTGTACGCACGTGTGAAAGAGAAAATGGAAGAGATGCAACAGCATAATATGTCATGGATCGAGGTAAAACTCAAATTAAATATAAAACAATATTTTATTGAAATATGACTACATAATGATATTATTTTCAGGTACAATTTTTAAAGAAAGCAGTAGATATTTTGTGTTCTTGTAGACAGACACTCATGTATACTTACGTTTTTGCTTACTACGTGCGAAAAAACAACCAGTCTGTGATTTTTGAAGATAACCAAAAAGACTTAGAAGGCACGACAGAACGTCTTTCCGAATATCTTGAGAGAGACATTACGAGCGAAAATCTTGCTGACATTAAACAAAAAGTTCAAGATAAATATAGGTACGTTATCGATTATTTTAACGTATTTCGCGAAAGAATTAAATGTCAACGTTGATACACATATATTATTTTTATTTTAAGATACTGCGATAGTCGAAGAAAAGTTCTTTTGGAACATGTTCATGAGGGCTATGAAAAGGATTGGTGGGACTATGTGGAATAGAGATCTGCACCAGCTTTGTTTTTTGGGCGTATCAGACAAGGTTCCTTTCTTGTCATTTTTGCCCCAGCTGTGATAAATCAAGAAAGCTGACAAGAGACAAAAATAGAGCATGTCATTGAGTGATTTACGTGTTAGATATACTTTAAACATAATATTATCTGTGGCAACACACATATATCGTTATGAATTTTGAATTGATTAAAATTGAATCCTATTATCATCAGGCTAAATGTAAAGTACTTTTGTATTGATTACTGATGCTGATTTGCACTTGTCGTGTGCTATTCATCATTGCATATTTTGATCCTTCATAAACATGCCTTGCAATAATATTTTCGAGTCTCGAATGAATTTTGTATAGAGCATAAAGAAAATTGAACGGTGCGTCATTGTGCTGGACAAACGTTTATCTCGAATTTGCTTAATATATTTTAATGCCATAATATAATGATACGATTTACCTTTTCATACTATTACAAGATTAAATAATCTTTGAAAGGGAAAACTTCTCAAATAGTACATGAAAAGGCTAATTATAAATACTAGATTACCTTGACCTCGTCTTTTATTCTCAGTCCTGTGCACTCGATTTATAAAGGGATTAAAAAGGATATTGCTGCAAATAAGATTCATAAAATGTCTTACCATTTCTGCTCTATTTTGGACAGTAACGTGTCCAGGCTATAACTGCCAATCTTATGAAAAACTGAATTTAAGTGATCATGTCGTCAGTATCATGTGCAATTTTTACATCAGTTTATATTTTTATATGTTATGTTAGTTTTATTTCCTATATAATAACAGTTAAGTAAATGACTTATGTATCGATGAAAAAAAAGAAAGTGAATTTGTTTACAAATATAGAATGAAAAACATTTAAAATTTGAATGAAATTGTAGTTTTATTTTATTTTTATTAAAGTGAAACTGGTATAACACAAAAGGGTCCAATGTTTCTAAAAGTTAAAATTTTAACTGCTATACATTTCCAATTTATTTCTTTGTATATTTAACATTTAAACAAAATATGAAGGAATAATTTCCGATGTGATATTCTCATAATGCTGACGATATGTTTCATATATCATTAATCAAATAACTTGTGGTGAATGAATGTAGTACAATGATCACTTACTGTTATATAAGTGGGGAACGAAATAAGTTCCATTTGTACAGTTATATAGTTACGTATTCACATATAAATGCATAATACATATACATAGTTGTAATATCAATATTAGTGAACTTAAAGTAGAAACATTTGAAGGTTTATTAAAAAAAAAATTGTTGATTCTTACTATTATCCACGTTAGGAATTAAAAGGTAAAATACAGTTGTTTTCTGTACAGTCACAAAATCTGAGTAGACATAAGAGAACTGTTAGACGTTTTCGCAGCAAATTATTCTCTGGTTCGTGGTTTTATATTGTATGTTCGTGTAACAGGGAATAAACAGTTCTTTATATTCAAATATAAGAGGTACTCGAAGAAAGATCGAAAAGATTTCGTGTAATTGGTACATTGATTATTATTGTTCATTCGTAAAATCATTATCTATTTATTAAGACATGTATGATAAATTTTAAGTAATTGATTTTAGATTTTTCAATTATTAAACATATCCCATGAATGTAAAAGTTTGAAAAGCACTAGGATCTTTCAACGGTATCAGAAATTTGATATTACTCAAAGAAACGCTCTCTGTTAGCATGTTATTAATACCTACTACTTCTCAATTAATCCGTATGCAGAAACCACATAACATATTTTATTAGTAATGTGTAACATTAGCAAAATCATGTGTTTAATTCTGCAATCAAAAGATCAATGGTCTATGCACTGATATTTTACTAACATTGTCTTATTTATTCGAAACATAAATGAATACAAAAGTCAGGTAATAGTAAGTTCTCTACTAATTATGTATTTTAGACATTTTTAAAATACCTACATTCTGATATCGATCAATAAATCAATATATTTTGAGTAGTACATAGATTGTATTTACGTTTGAATAAGTATACTACTTTAAATAAAACTATATGAATATCTGCAAAATATATTTTTAATAACTGTAGCACTACAAAATTAGTCTTCTTTTTTTTTTAACTGTGTCACCTGCCTGTTGGTTGATCAAAGGTATGGTTTTAAGGCATCTAGTGACTAACCAGTGACTTGATGTACCCATTGGCCTTTGTTCATTGGTAGAAGGTACGCTAAGGTATGCCTAAATCCCATTTATGTATGTCCTGGTTCATTCCAGACCAATGGAACCTTTGGACTCTCACAAACCAGGGAAAATGAACAAGGTTCAGGAGGAAGAGAGGGATTGAATAATGAAGGACATATGACAAACCTACCATTTGGTGAAGGTTTTCTAAATTTCATTTGAGATGCTTCCGTAGAAAATTAGATTCTCTAAAGCACATCCTGATACTGAAGAGAAAGAAGACATTACTCTATAGGTGGACCATGTACCACACGCCATTAGGGAACAGCGAATATTAAAGAAATAGTTGTTACCACCATCAATTGTATTGATTTCAAGTAATGGTAAGCTGATTACAATCTATATGGTGAAGGATCGAATGAAGGATGTTAATCATGGGGATCAAGCTAAGACAATTCTGATAACACATTTGCAAATCGCAGTGCTAACTCTACTTAACACTGGTTATCTATTTGATAATGATGTTCCTAAATTAAAGTTCATCACCCTATAAAGAAACATGTTTAACAATAATTATTTATGAGGTTCACATTTATTTTATACTTATTGTATATTATTTTGTGATGCAATCAAAAGATCAATGGTCTATGCACTGATATTTTACTAACATTGTCTTATTTATTCGAAACATAAATGAATACAAAAGTCAGGTAATAGTAAGTTCTCTACTAATTATGTATTTTAGACATTTTTAAAATACCTACATTCTGATATCGATCAATAAATCAATATATTTTGAGTAGTACATAGATTGTATTTACGTTTGAATAAGTATACTACTTTAAATAAAACTATATGAATATCTGCAAAATATATTTTTAATAACTGTAGCACTACAAAATTAGTCTTCTTTTTTTTTTAACTGTGTCACCTGCCTGTTGGTTGATCAAAGGTATGGTTTTAAGGCATCTAGTGACTAACCAGTGACTTGATGTACCCATTGGCCTTTGTTCATTGGTAGAAGGTACGCTAAGGTATGCCTAAATCCCATTTATGTATGTCCTGGTTCATTCCAGACCAATGGAACCTTTGGACTCTCACAAACCAGGGAAAATGAACAAGGTTCAGGAGGAAGAGAGGGATTGAATAATGAAGGACATATGACAAACCTACCATTTGGTGAAGGTTTTCTAAATTTCATTTGAGATGCTTCCGTAGAAAATTAGATTCTCTAAAGCACATCCTGATACTGAAGAGAAAGAAGACATTACTCTATAGGTGGACCATGTACCACACGCCATTAGGGAACAGCGAATATTAAAGAAATAGTTGTTACCACCATCAATTGTATTGATTTCAAGTAATGGTAAGCTGATTACAATCTATATGGTGAAGGATCGAATGAAGGATGTTAATCATGGGGATCAAGCTAAGACAATTCTGATAACACATTTGCAAATCGCAGTGCTAACTCTACTTAACACTGGTTATCTATTTGATAATGATGTTCCTAAATTAAAGTTCATCACCCTATAAAGAAACATGTTTAACAATAATTATTTATGAGGTTCACATTTATTTTATACTTATTGTATATTATTTTGTGACATGCTTTATATTATAACATTAATACTACTTATATATATATATATATATTATAATCAGTGCAATCATTAAGCGTAAAATAAAACATTCTCGTATCAGAATTGACTAAACATTTTTTCTTGGAAACTAACTATCCAGATTTAATCATCTAGCCTCTGCATTTGCTAAAATTTTATGTTTAAAAAATTTTTAATAATTATATTATGCCATAAGCCTATAAAATAATAGATGCAACTAAGAAAACTAATGCTTTTCAGAAATATTTATTATCTTTAAATATTTATATAAAAATTTTAAGAAACTACTACATATAATAATTCATTGCTGTTTAAAAATGTTACTGTATGAGCACTGTTGTGTCAATTGCCTTTCACAAATCCTAAATATTTATTATGACAGTGTTTGATTGACAAGGAAATTTATTATTTAATATATTTTCTAACTAGAATAAATTATAAATAAATACATTTAGATTGTTTCTACCTAAATTCAATACAATTTTGAGATTCTTGTTTGATATATATATATATATCTAAAACATTAATTTTGAGTATTAAATGAAATTACTTTGATAAAATATCTAGATTAACATTAAATAAAGTTTGTTCTCACTAATTTAACTAGGTTCAGAGCTGCAGTTATTACAAAATATGGATATAATAGGAAACATGTATCATTATCCTTTGTTTGTATTACATATTTGTTGAAGTTATATAAAATCTAAACTGAGTGACATTGATATGAAAATTGTGTGCACTGGAATTTACTTCCTGCACTTGTTATAAAGATGACTTTGAAATCACACAATTCCACTTTTAGTGCCAATGTAAAAGAGGATGGTATGAAATCTTGAAATTTTTTTCAAGAACATCGCAGTGGAATATAAGTACACTGAAAGGTTGTACGTAAAACATACCCTGCATCAATTAATTTCTAAGAGTATATCAGGAGGTCACCGTTAAAATTGTTGCGACCAAACCAAGAGTAGCACCTGTCATTAAAAGACTTCTCCAAATTGCTCCGCTGATTTCTTCTGCCACCGGATATTCTATACACAGCTGTTCCTAAAGAAATAATATATATACAAATACATATACAAAATATGATAGGTATGTGTACTTACCCATCCTCCGTATCCTTTGATGAAATGTGCAACTTTTTCTCCAATAAATCGTGAAACATACAGTGGCAATCTCTTCTTTAGGGCGTGCATTCTTCTATCTCGAGCCCAGAGAGCAAGCCTTCCCATGAATGCATACAAACAAACGATTCTTGCCCATGTAACACCACCATGCAAGAAAAGCTCGTCTGCGACTCCCATAAATGCTTCGTATGCAGTATCAGGCACAACATTCAAACGATTTACCATACTTGCAAACAATATGCTGTGTTTATTCAACATTTGATACACATTGTGTCTCATACTACGAGAGACTGGGTCCCTGGATATAAGATAAATATCTTCCTTCAGCAGATATCGTATCACATCAGTGGCCAAACATTCTGCTGTGAGTTCTATGGACTCTTCACAAAGGTTATGCCGTGAAGATGAGACCAATTGAGGGAAAAGATGTTGCAATCGTATCTGAAAGAGAAAGTAAAGTAGTAATTAAATGGTTCATAGGATTTTGTTCTTGCTTTGATAGCATTTGGGTATATAAACCATATTTTTAATATGTGTTCCTTTTATTCCTTTAGAGTGTCAAATTGTACTTTTATTTATCAACAATTATCAGTGAATTATAGGTATGTTTATGGTACATTGAAGTTTACAAAATACGTATATATCATGTAATCTATAGATCAAACATATTTACACTTTGTAAACCTTGATATATCATAAATACATAAACAATCACAGCTTTTGATGATTTACTACAGGATCATATCTCAATAGTTATTTGACTCCGTGTTTGACACTACAATCGTAGATCAAACTTTTATGTGTGAAAATGAAAAATGTACAGTGATCTTTCTATCTCAATAATAAAGCAAAACAGTTAAAAATGAATACAATATAATTTTGATATGAAACATTTTTTCAAGTAACAAATAGTTTACAAGTGATTTAGAAGACATACTTTGATGACATTTTACATAATATAACTAAAAGTCTTCAATTAAAATATTTGTTTTATTTTGTTACTTCTATCCTATCTCTATACATCAGTTTCCATACTGTTTTAATTTTGTAAATCAATATTGACAAACTAATTCAAATTCATGTCAGTAGTATTCTTCCTCTGTATATGCTTTTTATTAATTTGCTTTATTCATTACTCTCAAATCTTATTACTCTCACCTTTATTGCTAGATTTTGATATTGTAGTTACTATTGTTTATTTTTATAAAAATATATTTAACATATATATGCATCATAATGTTACAATATCTTAAGAATTCATATGACTAGTTCTTGTCAAAGTTATATAAATTCTTAAATATGGTTATAATAGGTAACTTAAGGAAAAATTATATAAATCTTTCTTGATATTCCATCATTTGGACCCTCACTTTGGATTTTTTCTAGCACTTTTACTTTTTGAAATTCATATTATAATAAGAAAAAGAAATACTTTAAATGAAATTATTCATAAATTTTATGTATATTGTTGAGTATTTTACATTACAAAATAATTTTTACATTTACATTAGAATTTGTAGAGTTTCAAGTGATGTCAAAATAATATTAACTAATACTATTATCATTAATTAGTACTATTAACACATAATTTGGGACTCTATAAGTTCTATTATAAAGGAAAAATATTTTGTAATGCATGATACTCAACACTGTATGTAATTTATAAATAATTCGATTTTATATATTTCTTATTGGATTGTAATAACAATTTTAGAAAATAAAATTTAAAATGAGGGTAGAAACAATGTCACATTAAATTTACACAGACTGTCCTTAAATTGCCTGTTGCAGCCACATCCAAGAATAGGTGCACATAGTGTTCCTTTAATTTAACAAAAAAAAGAACATTATTAGCTATTAGATAACAAAAGAATTCAAAATAATGTATTTAGCTATTATTTTTAAATTATACAGAAACTAAATAAATAACAAATAATGAAGTACAATTTCTTTTATATTTCAACACTTCCCGAAAAACTATAACTAAACCTGATAACACTTAAAATTAAATATACTAATTTATAAAATAATTTAGAAACTAGAAATGATATGCTTATATACTTTATTACATGCAACAGATTCGTAGTTTTTTTTTTTAAAGTCCGATGACATTTCGCGAGTAGGGGAAGTACACTGATGTACCCACGTGACTTTTCCCACGAAGATTCTTTTTCCCGGGAATTTTTTCGCGTCCGAAATAAGGTTCACCGCCGCGAAACGTAGCAAGAAAGTATTTAGATTGACAGTAAGCCGGTTACCTGACAGACCTCGATGAAAGACATAGCGGTGTTGGCAGTACCGATAGCATATCGACATAGAACGCCGTTATCACCGGCAATCACTGGTCCACCTCCGTTGTTACATTCGTCTGCGATCACAGTTTCACCGCTTCCGTCGTCGCAATCGTCGTCGCAGGCTCGCTCGCTCTGTGAATTCTTGTTACCGGGGGGATCACATTCCAGGATGCCGCCCACTCTGGAATGTGGTTCCCCCTGCATTGACGCACCCTGCCCCTCCCCCTCCACGGCGAGGATTTCATTGTTCGGTGGTGCACCGTCGTCGCCGGCCATCCTCGTGCTCTCGAGACACTGGTTGTCGCGCTCATCGTCGGTCACGATCAAGATCCCTCGCTGACACTGGTAAATCTCCGCGATCCTTAAAACATGACACCGCATCGATAAGTCTTGCGAATTCGCCATGTTAAACCGCACCACGAAAAACTTTGGCTCGCTTGCCAGACGACGTAACGCTCTCTACTTTCCCGCGGCCATTTCCGAAGCCGAAGCTGAACCCGCACCCCACTACTCTGTCTGCTCCCCTCCAGCTCTTTGACGTTTCTACCCGCTTCAACACCAGCGAGCTTCCTTCTTGTACGTACAGCGTTCCCGAGGGAACTCATACAGCCTCAACGGTAGAAGGCACAACGGTACCGGCTTCTATGGATCATTCACGTTTCCTCCCCACCATTGACCACTGCCGTATTCCGGCACGCGGTGCACACTGCCATACGGTGCCTCACATGGATTCAACCAATGTTGAACTATATTCGATACCTTCATTCTAATATCACACAATTTTACTGGAATAGGACCGACTCGGAATAGTTATTTTCTGTAATGTATGAGATACGGAACCAAAGCGATTTTCCGTGGAAGCTTATTTTTGTGAGTGGCGTAAGAATGAATCTTATGTGTATTTACCTGTGTGCGAGAACTATCTCCTTTCCATCGCTTTCGTTTGTCTCTCTTTTACTCTCCTTCTCGATGGAGGCGCCGTCGATAACCTCCCACCCCTGAAGGGTGCCCTCGCGCACGTGCACAAGCGTGAATACCTGTGTGCGCTCTGGGAATCGAAACGAACGGAATTTTCGATGGAACGCGGAGTTCGCTTGGTATAGCACCGTTCCCAGGCGTATCCTTCCCATTATGTTTCTTCGGAATGCTGCTTCTAAAGTCTGTGCATCGAGAAATCGTGTGTAGTTAAGTACAATGTTTTTTCGTCGGGGGTGGATTTCAAGATTTGTAATTGTGTTCGACCTTGAGAACATTCAGGAAGAATTCCTCTTTCGGTTTTGAAGATCTCTTCGTTTTGATAAATCCCGATTTGGTTTTCTACAAAGCATCTCCTCTTGGATTTCATAAATTCGGGGTGGTTGATTGATTGATTGATGTTATATGGGCCTCGACTGCTATGATCATTGGTCCAAATTCGGGGTAGAATCCTTGTTTTGGTTTTTGTTAAATTCAAGGGGACCGGTTTGGTTTTGAAAAAATCTACAGATAACTCGGTGGTCTTCTTTCATTTTTGGGGAAGAACGAGACTAGGATCTGACCTACCCTACAATTAACATAAGTTACACGTGATCTTAAAGGTCATATGTTCCTTGTATATATGTTCCATGAACAATTTCTTATAGATGTATGATGCCAATAAATATGAATGTACTTTCCCCACAGTCGCTTAAGTGGCCGTAAGAAATGTAAACTTTAACGAAATTGGTTCATCGATTGCTTGGAGTTGCAACACCATGGTGATCATGTCGGTGTACTCGGTGAAAGCCACGTCATGGTTGCTGACCCAAAGGTGACGTAGCGATCGTCATCTCTGACGATAGTATCCATTGGTAGTTTCCTATTTCATTGACGATTCTCTCTATTAATACAACATCCCACTGTGAGGCTTTTTATTTGCATTCCATAGGAATTCCAGGCTATTATTTTGTTCCTCGAGTAATGAAAATAGATGGCTAATCCTGAGGAACACTTTATGTAAATATGGAGCAAAACTGGTTTAAAGTTAAACGAAAGTATCCGTAACGTACCATTCATGATGCTTATCGTACTTCTTGGTAGTGCATCAAGTTGGACGAAAAGGTATGGGAAGATGGTGCGCAAAGTGTTCGCAGCTCGATTCACTGGTAACGAATGCGATATTCGTATTCGCGATGCTGCAGAATGTAGTGGTAATACGATATGCATTTCCAAGAAGGAATTATTATGTTGAAACTGGTCGGCGTGCACGCCGGCTGGCTCTGATCGCCGGCGCGCGACCGTGCCCGCTCCTTTCTGCCTGTGCAACCTTCAAAGGCCACAGAATGCGTCGATGAATGAAGTAGGAAAGTTGCAGAGTGTCGGCCGACCGGATGTGTATACTAGGTGGCCGAAGAAAACGAGAGCTCCGACGTCAGACGGCATCAAACTGTAGTGCACCCGCACTGGAGCTGTCACCATCTTTGACAATTTTTTTTAGACGAATCATCTAGCCTACAAAAAATTTGTTGCTATTTCTTTGTTCTACGTATCCTAAGGTATATGAAAATATTTTTGTGTTCATTTTTGGCAACAAAATGGCGACGATACAGCTGCCTCACAGCATCCAAACGTCGTGTCCGATAAGTTTAACGCGATTTAACCTAGAACAAAATAGTAAAAAATTGATATTTTCTGCAGGGAATTTACTGGAAAAAGTGTTTAGACGATATGTCAAAAACAGTTTTAGGTATGACTTTTGTTGAATCCGAGTTTGCAGGTGCAGCAGCTATTATTGCCATGTTATTCGATGCGGTTTACCTTTCTATACCAAACGTGGATAATCATACGTGCAAGGTATTAAAGCCTAACGACCGGACATGGATAAATTGGCGATATGAGTCACGTGTAAATGACATCTAATTGGGTCATTATCTTACAGTTGCTTCTTAAAGTGGCAAGAGACGCAATAAGGAGCTTTGTGGATCACGAACGTTTGATACGACAAATTCCTTGAATTGACCATGCAATTTCGGGCAGAACGCTGCTTATCGTTCGCACCATCGTGTGAGGCACACGCACACGGTTAGCCAATTTGTTATCCTCCCATGTTGATGAGCTAGCGTATTGTCGTCTCTCCCGATAACCAATCTGCTCTCGAATTACCTTAGATTGGTAACAATTGTGCTCTATCTCTGTCCGTTTCATTAAACCGTCAGGCAGCGGCAACAAACATATCAAGTAGCCTGACACATCTGTCAAGACGAACCACGTGTACGGATCAGTTCAACGATTGAAAATATCACCTCACATTGTTTTCTGTTCGCGAAGTGGACCGTGGGAATACAACAGAGTGAACGGCACACAGTATTTCAGGGGAACTCGTGGCAACCGGCTCTCGGTGGCTTTTCTTACCGTCATTCATGATACTATGGCACGGCAATAGGATGATTGCCTGACGGCCGGTGCCTAAAGTGGATAAAGTCTTCTATAGTAATTTAACTCGAACAGGGCACAGGGGTGCAGAGACTGGGCCCTTCGGGGATCTCTTCTTTTTACTTAACGATATTAATATCTGCCGGATATCATATTAAATCAATGCTAATTATCGTATTACACTTTAGGGCTTTCATAATTTTTTCTGAAAAATCCGTGGACTGTATGAAAAATCTATTGCATGTCTTTTAATATACGTATCTTAAGCTACACGAAGGTATTTTTGTATTCTTCTTTCTCGATAAAATGGCGGAGCGGTAGATGCTTCACAGAGGGTCTGTTTTTGGAAAAACGTCCAAATAAACGCAATAATTTCAACCGTCTTCACATTTATTACAATTTACCTTTTTCCTTATTTAACGATATTGACGTCATTTATTACCTGATACCACTGAGGGATTATATTAATTTAAACTTGTCTTTATCAATTCCTTTTCAAAAAACCACGAACCAGGTAAGAAAGTTTATTCGAAGATTTTTGTTATGTATTCTTAAGCTACAGTAAGATATTTTTGTATTCGAATTTGTCAACAAAATGACTGCTTTAAAGCTGTCTTATAGTCGCTGTTCTTGAAAAATACCTAATCTGTCCATGGGAAAAAGTTCATTAAATTAAAAGGCGAGGATGTTTGTATGAAAAATTATAATTCCTTTTTCAAATATGCATTATTTTTAAACATCTTTACATGCTCATGCAATAACTGTCACGAAGAAGACAGAAATTTTTGAATTTTTCCAGGATAAACCGTATTGCAAGAGAAAAACAAAGCCTACGTGAGGCAGTTGCAGCATCGTCCTTGTATAATCAAAGAAAAATTAAAAAATATTTTCATATACCCTAACATATGCACAATAAAAGATCTTCAACAGATTTTGCATTCGCTTCATGGTTTACCCTCTAAAAATTGTGATTGACAGCATCGATTTTTTCAATTGAATAAAAAGCGACCGATCATCTTCTTTGCGCGCACCTAACAAAACAAAATGGTTACCAGCATCCGAATAGAAGCGTGATCGATCGTCAAGATCCAAGGAGCCACTTCCGGTCCGGCGTATAATTTATTTATTGACCGGCAAGTTCGTGCTTCACTTAGTTATCCTTAACCGTGAGTTTTATTACTTCCGTGAAGCTGTCAATGGTCGGCTATTATCCCCCATCGCGTGTGGTACACCTTTTTTTCTAGTGTTGCAGGCAGCAGAGGGGGAAGGGGTCGCCTGATTTCGCGGTCCCGTGCGACGTCCCTGAGTTGGCAGTGGTACTAACAGATTGACAGACGTGCTCGCCGCGAACTGACCCCTTCGTAGTGATTTAGTTATCTCTCTATCGACGCCTTGCCGAGTTGTACACTTTGATTGTACCGGGAAACAGGAAAATAAGGAAAGGAAAAGTGCTGCCGGAAGTGTTGTACCTGAAGGTAACGCGCGCTCTCCGCTGAATGAGCTCCTGCCGGTTCGGGATCGTCTCGAGGAGAGATATTATGATTAGGTGAGTATAACAACCTGGTTTTCCTTGTTTTCCCCCGATTAAGACACTGTAAGCTTTTCCTCCTTTGAACGCGACTTTATGGTCTTATAAAGTGACTCAACACAAGAACAAACAGATGCCTCATACGTGCTCAGCCGCGCTTTGAGGGAATTATAGTTAACCTCCAAGTTAAGTGGGACCTCCCACTTTCTTAGGCATAACTCTTAAATCGTGAGAGATTATAGAAAAATGTTTTGAACGAAAATTTAATTCCTCAATAAAATACTTTTTTCAAAATTTTATCAACAGGAGAAGTGTTTGTTGAACCATTAAACTTTGATGGTTAACATTTTGTTATAGCAGTTATAGTTTAAGGGTTATGAGGAAAAAAAGTGAAAGTGCCTAGTTACCTTTGAGGTTACGTTTGATGCCCTTAAATGTCGATTAGGCACAAGAAGGAACTGTATTGTAAAGACGTTGGGTATTTAATTGCATAACGCAATGCACGATCAGTACGTAGGAGAAGTTTCTTTGTGATATAAACGTTGTGTTTTATGGGCTAAAGTTGATTTATGCTCCTTGAAACTATGAAAAGATTGTTTATTCGCCATTGGAATGTCATCTAGAAGTTTCAATTGTTATTACGTATTTAACAGCGAATGTATCGAGGTCAAGCTATCAAAAACTTCCGTCGCAATTGACGGTTATGGATTCGCGGAATACGTGTGTGAGGACGACAGAAAGAAGTACTAGAAAAGCAGGAAATGTTTTTACGACAGTCAAACGACTTAATTGGTCCAGGAAAATCAGGTAGATAATAAATAGAAGATAAAGTTTATCGGAGATGTAAATGTGCTATTGTGGCGAAGGCATCATGGAAATCTAGCATAAGTAACGTTGTGATTTATAATCTCGTTTGTTTCTGAACTCATTGACGGACAGATTTAGTAGTGCAAGCATGCAACCGATCTGTTTAAAATTTCCATTGCTTGTTATGAAACTGGATTATAAGGTCGGAAACTGCGAGAATTATTTCTTACCTTGAGGCACTCAGTTTTACGAGTACAACGAAAACAAAGACTTGCACATTATAGTGTGTTAAGATTTCTAAGGACTTACATTTTAATTCATAAGTGAAGATAACGATCCCCGTCATAAATAATAAGGGTCATTTGTGAAATTCTCTTTCGAAAAACGTTTTTTGAGGCACTGATTTTTATGGATATGTTCGAAATTGAAACTTTTATATCGAAGATAATACGTTAAAACTTCTAAATACTTGTATATTAATGTACAACTGGTGAGGTTGGAGTCAATTATCCCCTACAAATTGTTACTTTTTAAAAACTGTACTGTGAGGCACTGACTTTTATAGATAAGATCAAAAGAAAGGTTTGCATATTGAAGGCAGTACACTG